ACAATAGTTGCCATGTAAATCATCATTTGGTACATAGCATCATCAAGGCTATTCAAAGTCCTCTTGAAATCACTCGATCATGTTTTTATTTATGAAATATAGTCACAACCCATAGAATGACTTATAACATCTTTTAATGGCTTGTGAATATAATGGATTTTTCACATAATATCAATAACAATATCATGATAAAAGCACAAGCATGCATCAATAAGCATCATTCGCATCTTAAATCATAACATCACCCATGATACAATATTAGATAAATTCACCCATACATAGTCTTGTTGGGATAATTACAAAAAAAGTCATAAACTTATTGTATGGATGTCAATTCAATCCTAAATATTTCAATTTGATCAATTTAGTCCTAAATCTTTGGATGATTTGTCAATGTAGCCATTTCGGCTAATTTTGGCCAGAAATCGATAATATGGATGATGGATGTCTTACGAGACACAGTCGGCACTGACGTTGACAATTTTTTTGCAATTTTTTTTTAAAAATTCTGATTTTTTTGTTTTGTTTTTTCTTTTTCAATTTTGCCAATTTAATCCAAAACCTTTTCGCAAAATTCTAATGTAATCATTCCGGCCAATTTTTACTGACGGCAATGATGACTAGACCGTCATATTAGCGATTTCCGGTTAAACATTGACCAGAAGGACCGAATTAAAATTTTGGGGAAAATTTTATGACTAAATTGGTAAAATTGAAAAGTTTGGGATTGAATTGGTATTCGTACAATATGTTTAGAACTGATTGAGTAATTTTTCCTTACACTTTTTTATTGGCCATCTCGAGTAGTAACAAATGAAAAAATATTTGCATAAATAATTAGAATAAATTAAAATTACCCATTGTTGCTTCGCCCTTAAAATCCAGTCTCTTCGATTTTTAGGGTTTAGGGGTTTTTGGAGCAACCATTCGTTGTTTTATACGCCTTACAACCTTTTTAACGTTGTCTCATGTCGAGTTCACCCCACACTAATATCAAAGATCAATATCATTGTTCATAATGGAGAGATCCAATGGGGAGCCCATAACTTGAGCCCATTGATAATTTAGTTGGACTCACCTTAAATCAAATGCTTAAATAATTCAGTTATGCACCAATTAGGTATTATTTGTTACTTCTTTTAACTCTAGACGTTCTATGTAAGCCTGATTTCTTTCACATTATGCACATGTGCACTGAACATTCTCCCCTCACAAGTGTGTCTTTAGGATATCGGGCCGCCACCCCCTCAATCCAAGCCCGGTATTCTTCCACACAAACAAATCTCAACCCAAATCCCCAATCAGCACCAACCGTGCAAACACGCCTTTTACTCACGCTCTTCTCTTGGAATGAACTGTGATGGCAAACTGCATTTAGTAATCGTGACTATTCATAGATTCCTTTTAAGTTTGGGATGCTGATACTTATTAGGAGCCTACCAATCAAGCACCGGCTCTAATAACACTATTTGGGAAGGGCTGCAGAAGTTTAATACCTTCATAAAGAGGAGATCTAAGAGGGAGCCCATAACTTGAGCTCATTGACAACCTAGTTGGACTATAGTCACTCAAAAATTCAAGCAATTGAAATATGGGCAAACTAAGTATTATCAAATGCTTCTTTTAGCTCCTGACATCTAAAGCGAGATTTATTTCTTTCACTTCGCTCACATGTGCACTCAACACCCCTAGACAAGCGATAGGATATTTTAACAAAAGTATCGCCAAACAAAATCGAAGAGAATTGCATTTATAGGAATAGGTGATCTACCCAAAAGTGATACCTTGAACTAGGCGTCGACTGTTCAATGAGAAGTTAACTTCCAATGGGATATTCAGATCTTCCTCCGAAATTCAAATTGGGTAATGTATCCTCCGGTGTCTACTACTTTATCTTGAGAGGGGAAAAGATCAAGAGAGGAAGAAAATATTAATTTTCCCCTCTCTTTTCTTCTCACAATAATTATAACCACCTCCATTTTCCTCATCTCCCTTTTTCCCCAAACAAAGCCACCGATTTGCAAATGCAACTATCCCACTGTTCATGCATACTACTAGCTCCATGGATTTAGGACAAGGACGGGTGATCAAACATCGAAAGGAGGAGGAAGTAGAGGACGTCGAAAAGAGAGAGGATGAGTATATTACTGTGGGAATGAAATTTACCTCATCTCTGTTTCCCAAAGAGTTGCTCTATTTGAGTAAAGAATAAGTGTATGGAAGTCTTAAAACTTATCACGAAAGTGTAATTGAGTGTTAAAACTCCATTGTTTTGGTTCAAATATGATTTTTAGTACAAATTTTATTTAAATTCAAAAAACAAGTTAATTTCAAAAATTAAAATTCAAAAAAAAGGTTGAGAAACAGGCGGCTGAGGGCTGCAAGCCTTAGTTGCTGCCAGCCCATCCGTCCCACCATCGCTAGGAAGGGCCGGCTCCCGGTAAGGTGGGGGATGGTCAGCGACCTCGCTGACCACAAGGGAGGGTCATGGTCCTCCCATAGATAGGGCAAGGGTCACCAGGCCTTGCCTAGACTTGGCCGAGGGCCACCACTAGCTGGGGCTTGGCAACCCCCGCAGGCCATTCCCTACCCTCGTTGGCCCTTCCCGACGATGGTCGAGCAGTGATGGCGAGAGCTTGCAGCCCTTAGCCGCTTGTTTCTCAACCCCTCTTTTTTTTTAATTTTAATTTAGCTTTTTTAAAAATTTAATAGAAGTGAAATTTGTATTAGGAATCATAATTAGACCAAAACAACATCGTTTTAGCCTTGCATTTCATGTTTTAGCCATGTCATCGCCACGTGGGAGTAAGAAAAAATTAAAGAAAGACACGTTGGCATTTTCCGTTGGCCAAGTTGGTCGGAGTAAACGGAATAACTCGATTGAACCAACTCGACAAGTTTTACAACTTGATTTCACTTTTTACCAGTTTTATAACTCAATTGCACTTTTGTGACAAATTTTTGGACTTTCAGTGCACTTATCCCTTTGAATAAAGAGGAAGTAAGATACCACGGATCACATAAGGTTCATGAAAAGTTGTCTTAAAAAGGAGAGAAACATTAATCTTGCATGGTTCTCCCATCGTTGGTAGGCTATCATTGCAATTACCAAATTGAGATGTTCTCATTTTAGAATGGCGATTGACATCCTCAGTTTATTAATTCAGATACATGTGAATTGTATTAGAGACTATCCCATATAAGAAATTTGATGGGGTGTGAAGCAATTAAAGTATCGTAGTTGTCTATAGGTACTGGCTCTAAGTGTTTGAGTAAATGTGGCTCCATATGGATATGTTGGTAGGCTTGGGCTTAGACTCTCTTAATAATCTCCCCAAATGAAGATACCAAGATTCTGTCAAGTGACCCAACAAGTGATATCGAAGCAAGTGGGTCTCAAATAGAGATCTGTATTTTAATGAAATATCTCACGGTTAGTGCAACTATTGGGTACAATGCCTCTATGGTTGGTCTCTTGAAAAAAGAATATGGGCGCAGGCAGAAGTTACGGTGTACCAATGGGTCGTGATATAGTGATGTAGAAGGATACTTGATTTAAGGGAGCATGCCTAGCACTAAAGTTCACATATGATGGGGCTATTATTGAGGTACACGTGTATAAATTGCATTAAAGAAATCTCACGTTCAAAGATTTGTTAACTGACATATAACTTATCAGCTTAAATTTTGAAGCAAAGATGGATCTAACTGAATATGTTTATAGACTCGAATTTGAATAATCTCTTGGTAATCTTTACAAATGAAGGTGGTCCGATCTCCGACCACTCGATAGGAATATCGGGTTTGGCCCAACCCTCTCATGTGACACAACAATCTAATTACCCACTTTTACCACTTGTACCTAAATATCCTTGGGGAAAGTTAGAACTCCCATAGACAAACCCGGTCACATGATCAGAGTGATCGCATGATCCAAGAAACGCGCTCGCCTTCTCCTCTACCATGTGCATTTACGTAATGGTTTTCTTTGTGCCTTGAAAGGTCAAACCCTAGCCCGTTCTCCACCACACGGCATGCATTTGTCGTCTTGCAGAGTTGCACGTTGTTAAAAGCTCTATATAGGTTGTTTTCAAGTCCATGTCATGTTGATTTGTATATTGCAAATTGTTCTCGTCGGCGAATAATTATAAAGGCAGCACTTAACTCGTTCTTATTTTTGGAGTTTTATATGGAGGATGCTTCCGAATCACGTTGATTTTCTCCTCACTTCCCCTCTCTCGTTATTACATCCTTTCACCTCCAATGACCATACCTCATTTCTCAGCTTCTCTAGTGTAATTCAATCAATTTTATGCGATAGCTTCTCAAAGTCTAAATTTCTAGTCTGTTTCAGTACTAAGTTTTAATCTAGCCTTTAAGTTCATATCCTTGTCTTTAGGGTTTTAATCCCATCTTTAAGGTCAGATCCCTGTCTTTAGGTTTTTAATCTTGACTTTAGGGTCAGTTCCCTGTCTATAGAGTATTAATCCCGCCTTTAGGGTCAGTTTCATTTCTTTAGGATGTAAGTCCTGCCTTTCGAATCAGCTCCTTGTCTTTAGGGTTTTAACACCGCCTTTAGGTTCAGATCCCTGTCTTTGGGGTGTTAATCTCGCCTAAATCATTTAGCTAGAGAGGAAGTTTTACGTAATGATTATATCTTGCAATATACTAATATAAGATTTTGATTAGAATGGGTAATCTTTAAACCGGTTCGTCAAAGAGACTGTACAGTAACGTGCGGCTTAATAATTTTGGAATCTAAGCAAACTGGCAAATTATACTTGATATATGAATTCAACAAATATAAAGATTGGAATGCTTTCCATGCTTTCTCATAACTCATCACAATTTATTTTTGTCCCGTCCACCTTTGACTGCTTCGCATGTCCTAATTCGTCCAAGCTTCCCCTATTAATTAAAATGAAGACAGCGTTTAACCCTATAAAAAAGTGCTCGATCGAAACTGGAACAGATCTAAACAAGACAATCACACCCAAAACATGGACACCGAGCTCCATAACTTCATCTTCGTCTGGATATCCGTCGTCACAGCCCTAATCTACTGTCGCTACATCTCCAAGCTCATCCCCAACGGACCCAAGAGGCTCTTCTTCTTCCTCCCGGTGATCCTCCTCTTCCTCCTCCTCCCTCTCCGTCTCACCACCATCACCCTCAGCGGTCTCACCGCCTTCTTCGTCACCTGGCTCTGCAACTTAAAGCTCCTCCTCCTCGCTCGTGGCAAGGGCCCTTTAGCGCCGTCGCCGCCTCTCTCTCTTCCGCTTTTCGTCGCCATCGCGTCACTTCCGATCAAGATCAGCCCTTCCCTGGGGAGCGTGGCTTCCAAGAATGGCGGTGGCAATGGCCTCAAGTCGCCGGCGAATTACATCACCAAATGTCTATTGGTGGTTTCACTCTTCCCTCTCCTCCAGTGGAGTGACTACGTGCACGAGAAGGTCATGATGACTGCGTACTCCATCCACATGTATATCACGCTCGAGGTGGCTCTGGTGGTGGTCGGTGCAGCGGCTGGCAGGCTCATCGGCGTGACGGTGGAGCCGCAGTTCAACGAGCCGTACCTTGCCACATCGCTGCAGGACTACTGGGGTCGGCGCTGGAACCTCATGGTGACGAGCATCCTGCGGCCGAGCGTGTACGAACCCATCCGGTCGGCCTCGGGCCACATCATGGGAAGGCAGTGGGCTCATCTTCCCGCCGTGCTCGCCGCGTTTGCAGTGTCCGCCCTCATGCATGAGCTGATCTTCTACTATATCGGGAGGAAGGAGCCTACATGGGTGGTCACGCGCTTCTTCCTCCTCCACGGGGTCGCTGTGGCAGCAGAGGTCGCAGCGAAGAAGGCGCTGCACGGCACGAGGTGGCGGCTGCCAGCAGACGTGTCGAGGCTGTTGACGGTGGGGTTCGTGGTGGTGACAGGCTTCTGGCTGTTTCTGCCACCCCTACTGCGGTGCGACGCGATGGCGAAGACAAGGAGGGAGACCATTGCTATTATTGAGTTTGTAAAGGGTTTTGTCTTCGTGCCACTGTGAGAGTAACGATTCAGAACAAGCTGTAATCATCACAGCGTATCAATGACAGTCACAGAAGCATTTCTCTTTGTTTGTGAAAAGGCTTTGGAGCATTTTGAGATTTATCTAATTTACCCTAGTGAGTGGTCCTTGAATTGCTCCTCGTTTTGCACAGACTAGTCGTCCTTGGGTTAGTAAGGGCGGACTTTGTAAATATTCCCTCTTTTTGGATAATGCAAAAAATAGTTAAGTGGGGGTATAACACTGATTTTAGAAAATCCAACCATAAAATTAAAGTTGATAAGTGGAGGTATACCACATGAATATAAAGAGTATTTATGATTCATTGTTAAACGATGTGGGATAATACTTCAACATATTTGATATTCGATTTTGCTCATGAACTTTAGTTTTGTTCAATTTAGTCCTATTCTTGTGAAATCAAAAGTGTAGCTCTTTCCAATTGACTTACTAATAGAATCCACATCTAGGCACGAGGTCATTGGAATATGCCACTGTACCAAAATATTGGTCTTCACTAGTGGCAAGGGATTTGGGGGAGTGGGGATGTGCGAGTGAGGGGGCAGGTGTTTGATCCTTGTAGAAGGCAAAAAGTAAGAGAGACTAGTGCAGACAACTAACAAGACCGAAAAGAAAATCTATAAGCACTTTCTTCCACACCCATTAAGAAAATATCAAATAATCCCCTTAAGTAGAATCGTTTTCTCAAAAGGGTCCCTACAATGAACATTGTCTCAAATAAGCTCATAATATGAGCAACATAGCCTCAAAAAGAGACGAGTATGGTCCTGGTGGGCAATTCCCACCTTGGAACCAGACTACTCATTTAGGAGGTCTGGTTCCCAAACGGGTCAATGGAACCAGTCCCACCAAGCTTCACATGATTAGTGGCTCGATTTTCAGTAAGTCAAAGTAAAGTAAAAAATTGTCAACCAATAAACTTAACACATAGTGAGGAAAGTCAATTACCATTTGTAACTGTCCACAACAAAAACCTCATAATAATGTTTCCTCGTATTCAACCTAGCGAAATTTTCGATTCTCTTTGTGAATTTCATTGAAGGAAGATCCTCTGGTTGCTTACTCTTGACCTTGCCAGTAGGACCCACCATTACTTAACTAGAATAGCAGCATCACACGTGAATTCCCTCTCTACTCCCAACCTTGCAATCTAAAATAAAAAAACCACAAAAATGCAAATGGATTCAAGAGAGCTAAGAGAAGTGAAGCAGCAAGATGCTACCTTCCATGGGCTGAGGGCCCTCGATGACCAAATCGGAATGCGGGACCAGCATTTCTTCGTCCTCTTGCTGCAATAACACAGAGTAGTCAGTGTCCAAAGCAACCAGCATTTTTTCTTAAAAATTCAATATAATATATATTACCATTCTGGTTCGGATGGGCAGGTAGGTGGTTCCATACCTGGAACCGAGAACCGGACCGGTACCCACCGGTTCCACTAAATTGGAATCGGGAACTCTTTAGAACCACTAATTCTGGGCCGGTCTGGTCCAGTTCCGAGCAGTTCGAGCAGTCCCTAATTCCTTTGCACACCCCTAATCTCAAATCACCCCTAAACTCGCCATCTGGCTCAAATATATTGAAGGTCTCAAACTTGGGTTATCTGTTGGTAATCTCCCCAAGAAGGTTCTGTATCGCGTCCCAACACTAGACTGATCTAGATTTGATTGAACACTGCAAAAATTTGACTTTCTACTCTCCCTCTTTCTCTCTCTCAACGTTTTTCTCTAAATTGAATGTTGTCAGAAGCCTTTTTTTCCGGCTAGGCAAGTAACACTTTTTGAAATTAAACATAGCCCGGTAGCTATACATAATCTCTCAAACCACAAACAGTCAGCACAAGCAGCCAAGCAGGCTTTTGCAAGGGAGCATCACAGGCTGATAAAGAAAACCAGCAAACTTTCGATGAATATTCTTCCCACCAAGCTCGTGGGAAACTTGATTCACAGCTTAGGCAGATCAAGAAACTACAATGATCTCATTTTGGGCTTCGTATCCCCGCGCACACGCGCACCGTCTGAAGCAACTTGAAGGTGGTCCGATCTCCAACCATCCTATAGGAACATTCGATTTGGCCCAACCCTCTTACGTAACACGACAATCTAAGTTCCCACTTTCACCACTTGCACCTGAGTATCCCTGGGGAAAGTTAGAACTCCCTTAAACACACCTGGTCACATGATCAGAGTGATCCCATCATCAAAGATACGTGCTCGCCTTCTCCTCTACCGTGTGCATTTGCGTAATGGTTCTCTTTGTGCCTTGAAAGGTCAAACCCGAGCTCGTTCCTCACCACACGGCATGCATCTGTGGTCTTGCTGAGTTGCACGTTGTTAAAAACTCGATATAGGTTGTTTTCAAGTCTATGTCATGTTGATTTGTATATCGCAAATGGTTCTCGTCGGCGAATAATTATAAAGGCAGCACTTTAACTCCTGATTTTTTTGGGTTTTATGTGGAGGATGCTTCCGAATCACGATGATTTTCTCCTCACTTCCCCTCTCTCGTTATTACATCCTTTCACCTCCAATGACCATACCCCATTTCTCAGCTTCTCTAGTCTAATTCAATCAATTTTATGCGATGGCTTCTTAGAGTCTAAATTCTTGTCTTTGGGTGTTAATTTCTCCTAAATCCTTTAGCTAGAGACGAAGTTTGACATGATGCTTATATCTGGCAACATACTAATATAAGATTTTGATCAGAGGTGTGCACAATCTTGATTTTTTTTTTCTTTTTGGTTCAGTTTAGAATGGGTAATCTCTAAAACGGTTTGTCAAAGGAACTTGCACCGTATCGTGCGGCTTAAAATATTTGGAATCTAAGCAAACTGGCAGATCATACTTTATATATGAATGTAACGAATATAAAGAATGGAATGCTTTCCATGCTTTGTGCGAACTCATCTCATTTTATTTTTTGGCACATCCACCTTTGACTGCTTCACGCGTCCTAATTAGCCCAAACTTCCCCTATTAATTAAAAAGAGTTAGATCAAAACTAGAACAGATCTAAACAAGACAATCTCACCCAAAACATGGACACCGAGCTCCATAACTTCATCTTCGTCTGGATCTCCGTCGTCACAGCCCTCATCTACTGTCGCTACATCTCCAAGCTCGTCCCCGTCGGACCCAAGAGGCTCTTCTTCTTCCTCCCGGTGATCCTCCTCTTCCTCCTCCTCCCCCTCCGTCTCACCACCATCTCCCTCGGCGGTCTCACCGCCTTCTTCATCGCCTGGCTCTGCAACTTCAAGCTCCTCCTCCTTGCTTATGGCAAAGGCCCTTTAGTGCCGCCGCCGCCGTCGCCGCCTCTCTCTCTTCCGCTTTTCATTGCCATCGCGTCGCTTCCAATCAAGATCAGCCCTTCCACGGGGAGCGGCGCTTCCAAGAACAGCAGTGGTGACGGCCTTAAGTCGCCGGTGAATTACGTCGCGAAATGTCTATTGGTGGTTTCGTTCTTCCCGCTCTACCTGCGGAGTGACTACGTGCACGAGAAGGTCATGTTGATGGCGTACTCCATCCACATGTATATCGGGCTTGAGGTGTCTCTGGCAGCCATCGGCGCGGTGGCTGGCCGGCTCATCGGCGTGGCAGTTGAACCGCAGTTTGATGAGCCGTACCTTGCCACATCGCTGCAGGACTTTTGGGGGCGGCGGTGGAACCTCATGGTGACGAGCATCCTGCGACCAAGTGTGTACGACCCCGTCCGGTTGGCCTCGGGCCGCCTCGTCAAGAGGCGGTGGGCCTCACTACCCGCCGTGCTCGCCACATTCATGGTCTCCGCCCTCATGCACGAGCTGATCTTCTACTACATCGGGAGAAAGGAGCCCATGTGGGGGGTCACTGGGTTCTTCCTCCTCCACGGGATCGCCGTGGCGGCAGAGGTCGCGGCGAAGAAGGCGCTGCGTGGCACGAGGTGGCGGCTGCCGACAGAGGTGTCGAGGCTGTTGACGGTGGGGTTCGTGGTCGTGACGGGGTTCTGGCTGTTTCTGCCACCGCTCCTGCGGTGTGATGCGGTGGCAAAGGCGCGGAGGGAGACCATTGCGATCATTGAGTTTGTGAAAGGGCTTTGGAGCATCTTGAGATTTATCTCATTTAACGTAGTAAGTGGTCATTGATTGCTCCATATATTTTAAAGATTAGTCTTCCTTGGGCTACAAACATAGTTAAGGGGCGGATTTTATTCGATCTTCAATTTCGCTCAATCAGAGACTTGCTCATACAAAAAAATATTACTTTGTGAGATTTGCATCTTTATCTTGAAGTTATGGGAGACAAAATAGCTGTCACGATCTGAATTTTTCATACAATTTAAACATCTTTATCTTCGTATGTTGTAAGCAAGTATCGTAACATAGATTCACAAACATGTCAAGGTATCATATATTCCACCAACATTTTCATAAAAGTCATTACAAGCACTTTCCAACCATGTCAAATTTTCCCAACGGCTGCCCACGACAGTAATAAGGAGATCAACCTACCCTACATAATGAATATTCACTTACACTTTCAAAACATACTATTTAAATTCCTTAAAGATGTAAAACGTGTGTTATAAATGACTATAATCATGTGTACAATGAATAAATTAGATGTTATGAACTAATATTAAGTCCAATACTCGTATGCACATCGATGAATGTATAAATCTCATGATGCATAAATATCACATAGTAGCTCACTGATATACGGAAGCAAGTATCTATTCCCTACTCGCTGGCCAAGACTCATCTCGAGAACGAGGCATCGTCACCACCAACCCATAATAAACGAAATCATAAACCCATATTTGTCATGCCACTCAGCCTATCCATCATGGGTGCCCTCTACACTAGCAATGATAAATACACTACTGTATTATTGAATGAAGATGGCTATTCCATAATATCATATCACAAGCCATACAAGCCATGTCATTACGTGTATGACACATAGGATTTCATATCCTATAAAACTTGTAGTGACTCGTTTTAGATAGTAGAACATCCGTCTTTTCCCAAAGTCTTATACACATACTTATACAAGGGAGTTCGCTTTCTGGCAAATAGGCCGTGGCAAAGGTTTTCATAACATTGAATCATTTACATGCAAATCGTCATAATGTACAATTATATCATAATAGTGGCCTTGTAAATCATCATTTGGTACATAGCATCATCAAGGTCATTCAAAATCCTCTTAAAATCACTCAATCATGTTTTTAATCATGAAATATAGTCATAATCCATAGAATGACTCATAACATCTTCTAATGGCATCATGAATATAAATTCACTCATCCATAGTCTTGCCGGGATAACTACGAAAAAAGTCATCAACCTATTATACGAATGCCAATTCAGTCATAATCATTCTAATTTAACTAATTTAGTCCTAAACCTTTTGATAATTTGCCAATGTAGTCCTTCCAGCCAATTTTGGCCCGAAATCACTGACTTGGACAACGATCGTCAAATAAACCCCTGAAGTGAGCAATTTAGTCTCAAACACCCCAAGCTCACCGGCCAACCAAATCTTTGCTAGTTGGGTTTGCCGGCCCACGAGCACTTGTGGCTTTCCAAGGCAATGGTAGGGGCATTTTTGTCTCAATTTTTTTTTTTATTGTAAACCACCTTTTTAATGGAGGCATTGGACCAATGGCGATGGAAGTCTAAAACTAAATTGTGAAAATGTATAATAAAATAGGCAAATATGAGCCTTGAAAGATTAGAATTTAGGACCTTTCAGTATGATATAATGTTAGTATGTCTAACCTAGAAGCTTCAATCATTAGGTTGAGGGAGAATATGTGAATATAAGGCCCATGCAAACCGTGTGTTAGGGAAGCTCCACAAAAATTCAATAACTTCATAATGGTGAGATCCAATAGAGAGCCCTTAACTTGAGCCCATTGACAATTTAGTTGGACTTATTTTTACTCAAAAATTTAAATCATTCAAAAAGGGGCCAATTAGGTATTATCCGTTGCTTCTTTCAACTCTAGACATTCTACGTTGGCCTTATTTCTTTCACATTACGCACATGTGCACTCAACATTTTCTCCTCACATGTGAACTTTAAGACATTAGGCCACCACCCTCTCAATCCAAGCCCGATATTATTCCACACAAACAAATCTCAACCCGAATCTCCAATTAGCATCAACCGTGCAAATACGCCTCTTACTCACGCTCTTCTCTTGGATTGAATCGTGATGGCAAACTTCACTCAGCAATTGTGAGTATTCATAAGATTTCATGTTGAGTTTAGAATATTGATACGTATTAGGAGCTCACCAATCAACTACCGTCTCTAATTACACTGTTGGGGAAGTTCTATGGAAGTTCAATACCTTCACGATGAGGAGATCAATGAGGGAACCCATAACTTGAGCCTATTGACAACCTAGTTGGATCTATAATCACTCAAAAGTTTAAGCCATTGAATTATGGGCAAACTAAGGATTATCGATTGTTTTTTTTAGCTCTTAACATTTAAAGTGAGATTTCTTCATTTCACTTCACTCACATGTGCACTCAACAGCCTATGAATAAGCGATGTATGATACTTTAACATAAGTATTACCAAACAAAATAAAGAGAATTGCACTTATAGGAACCCCGTGATCTACCCAAAAATGATGCATCAAACTAAGCATCGACTCTCTAATGAAAAGTTAACTTCCAACGAGATATCCAGAGTTGAAAATTGTGATGACAGAAAAATGTTATATTTTCTGTATTACCAAGTGAAGAGTATATGAGCCTATTTATAGGTTCTGTCAACTACCAGTTCTTCCTCCCGAACTACGTGATGACTATCTAAGGTAACAAAATATTTAGTACAATCAATCAGGACCAATAAAAAATATACACAGAATATCCTAGCGGAGCAACACACTTCAGGCGCATGTAGCGTCTGGCGGCGCATGGATCTTAGCTACAGTGGCACGTGTGGGCGCATTCGATGGAGTTTGGCTATGCGGTTTGCAGCATTGGACTTGTCGTAGAACAGAGCTAGATGATGGTGTTTATTCGTTGAAACAAGCCACGAATAGCGTCAATATAGCATTCAAAATCGTCAGCTCGCCGGAGACGCGTGACTCTTGCTTGCAATAGCACAGGGCAGCACGTGAGAGGGCGTGCAGAGGTGTATGGCAGCTAAATTTTGAGATATGGCTGTTCTGAGGTCGATGAGACCGGTGGTAGTGTTGTTTTGTAGAAACAAGCCGCGGAAAGAGTCAAAACAACATTCAAGATCCGTGGGTTCGGTGGAAAATATGGACACCAGCGCGACTGTCGTAACGTTGCTACAACCACCACCTTTTAAGGACTCAATAGCCGCTTCTCAAACAATAATGGCTCTGATACCAAGCTGATGATTGGATGATAGAAAAATGTTACATTCTACATATTACCAAGTGAGGAGTACATAAGCCCATTTATATGCTTTACACGACGACTGTATAAAGTAACAAAATATTCAGTATAATCAATCAAGACCAATCAAGAGAAATATACACATAATATCCTAAAAATATCTCTAATATTTAGATCTTCCTCTGAAACTCAAATCGGTAATCTATCCTCCAAATTTGAAGAACATATTAATTTTCCCCTCTCCTTTCTTCTCACAATAATTGTAAACTCTCCATGCCACCTCCCATTTGCCTCATCTCCCTTGCTTCCCAAACAAATCAACCAATTTGCAATTGCAACTATCCCACTATTCATGCATATTGCTAGCTCCATGGGTTTAGAACGAGGACAGGTGGTCAAACATCTGAAGGAGGAGGAAGTAGAGGAGGTTGAAAAGAGAGAGAGAGGACGAGTAGATGACTGTGGGAATGAAATTTACCGCCCCTCTATTTCCAAAGAGTTGATTTATTTGAATAAAGAGGAAGTGAGATACCACGAATCACATAAGGTTCATAAAAGTGGTCTTAAAGGAAAAAAAACATGAATCTTGCGCTATGATATGTTGGGAACGCTGAGTATTTGATATATATGTTAATTGACCAGTAATTCTTTAAGTTTTTAAGTGACAACTGAATATGTTGATGGATTTGAACTTACGCTATCTCTTGGTAATGTACCATAGTGAAGGTTTAGCACGTCCCAACATCATTCATAAAAAAATGGCACATTTGGAAGCAACGCACCTTATAAATGATCTAGATTTCCCACACAATTGATCATTGGAAAAATTTAACTTTCAACACATACGTGCACGCGAGTGTGCACTCTCTCTCTCTCAATGTTTTTCTCTAACTTGAATGCACAAGTAGTCGACCGAAAAAAAAAATGTTGTCACGAGTCTTCTTTTTTTGTTTGCTAGGCAAATAACACTTGTTGACATTGAACACATAGTCCACTAGTTATAAATGATTTCTCAACCACAAACAGTCAGCACAAGAAGATGAAGAAACTACAGTGATTTCATTTTGGCTTGGCATCCGCACATGCACATGCACGTGTACAAGCACATGGGCGCGCACTGTCTGAAGCAACTCGAAGGTGGCCCGATCTCCACTCGTCTCAATTAGCCCCAACCCTCTTATGTGACATGACAATCTAAGCACACAGTTTCACCACTCTTACCTAAACATCCTTAGGGGAAGTTAGATAATCGACTAATAAATATACTACCATCCGAAAGGTCAAACCCTAGCCCGTTCTACGCCACATGGTGTGCACTTGTCCTCCTGCAGAATTGCAAGTTGTTAAGAATTCTATATACTTCTTCAGGTCATGTCATGTTGATTTGTATATTGCAAATGGTTCTTGTCGGCGAATATTAAAAAGGCAGCACATAACTTGACTTCATTTTTATAATGTGTTTCCACACTTTGAGAATTCGAGGTTTGTGTCGTCACAACCCATTTCTGAAACTCGACAAACATCAAATCACATCGATTTGCTTCTCTCTGCCCCTGCTCGTTGTTACAGCCATTGATCCTTCCACCTATAATGACCATAATACCACAGTTTGCACGTCTCTAGTCCATGTCCAAGCAATTTTATGCGACAGCTTCTTAAAGTCTAAGTTTCATAGTCCAATTCAATACTAAGTTTTAATCCCGCCTTTAGGGTTGGATCCCCTATCTTTCGGGTTTTAATCTCGTATTTCCCTGTCTTAAGGATATTATTTCCACCTTTAGGGTCGGATCCTCTATCTTTATGGTTTTAATCCCGCCTTTAGAGTCAGATCTCTATCTTTACAGTGTTAATTCCGCCTAATTTCTTTGACTAGAGAGGAAGTGTTACATAACAATTATATCTTCCAACATACTAATATATGATGTTAATTAGAGGGTCAGCATAGTATAGTTTCTTTTTGGTTTAGTAGAGTTTAGAATGGGTAATTCTTATAACGGTTCGTGAAAGGGCCTCACCGTATTGTGCGGCTTGGTTTAAAATTATAATAATGGCCGAATCGTATATAAAAAGAAAAAACGCAAATGGCCATAATTTTATATAAAAAAAATTTCATCACTAATTTATATCAAAGATTGGGATGCAATTTCCGTTAGTTTTCGTTAAATTTTAGTCAAATTACTAAGTTTGATTAACTGTATTGACCTGTACCAATTTGGGTTTTCAGTTTACTAATTTTGATTTTTAATATTAATCCATTTTAACGTAGTTTATTTGTCCCTTCCACCTTTGACTGCTTCCACCTTTGACTGCTTCACAGAAGCTTGATCAACAGTAGAACAGTCCAAGACAGAACAATCTCACCGCAAAACATGGAGACCGAGCTCCATAACCTCGTCTTCATCTGGATCTCTGTCGTCACTGCCCTAACATACTGCCGCTACATCTCCAAGCTCATCAATGTCGGATCCAGGAGGCTCTTCTTCTTCCTCCCGGTGATCCTTCTCTTCCTCCTCCTCCCTCTCCGTCTCACCACCATCTCCCTCTGCAGTCTCGCCTCCATCTTCGTCGCCTGGCTCTGCAACTTCAAGCTCCTCCTCCTCACTCACGGCAAAGGCCCTTTAGCGCCACCGCCGCCTCTTTCTCTTCTGCTTTTCGTCGCCGTCGCAGTGCTTCCGATCAAGATCAGCCCTTCCACGGAGAGCGCGGCTTCCAAGAATGGCGGTGGCGGTGGCCTCAAGTCGCCCGCGAATTACGTCGCGAAATGTCTTTTGGTGGTTTCGTTGTTCCCGCTCTACCAGCGGAGAGACTACGTAGACGAAAAGGTCCTCATGTTGATGTACTCCGTCCACATGTATATCGGGCTCGACGTGGCTATGGCAGCGGTCAGTGCTGTAAATTAGCCGGCTCATCGGTGTGGCAGTCAAGCGACCGTTCAACGAGCCACACCTCGCAACGTCGCTGCAGGACTTCTGGGGACGGCGGTGGAACCTCATTGAGACGAGCATCCTGCGCCCGAGTGTGTACGACCCCGTCCGGTCAGCCTCGGTCAGCCTCTTGGGGGGGCGGTGGGCCGCACTGCCCGCAGTGCTCGCCACGTTCACGGTGTCCGCCCTCATGCACGGGCTGATGCCCTACCACATTGGGAGGAAGGAGCCCGATTGGGTGGTCACGCGGTTCTTCCTCCTCCACGGGGTCGCCATGGCTGCAGAGGTCGCGGCGAAGAAGGCGATGAGTGGCACGAGGTGGCAGCTGCCAGCAGAGGTGTCGAGGGTGTTGACGGCGGGGTTCGTGGTGGTGACAGGGTTCTGGCTCTTCCTGCCGCTGCTCCTGCGGTGCCACGCGGTGACGAAGGCGCGGAGGGAGACCATCGTGGCTTTTGAGTTTGTGAAAGGGCTCTGGAGCATCTCGAGATTTATCTCATATACCATAGCGAGTGGTCCTTGAATTTTTTGATAGATTAGTCGTCCACGGGTCAGTAACATAGTTTAAGGGCGGATCCTGTACGAATTTATTCTTTTTGAATAATGCAAAAAAAAAAAGTTCTTGCATCTTTTTTATCAATGTTCAATTCGGCTCATTAACTTTAGCTTTGTTCGATTCAATTTGGCCACAAATACAATCCTATAATTTGCTCATATGCATACGTGAAGCCCTTTGTTTCATGTGTAAATCCCACTTTCCAAAGATTGAACGGGAGATAAGAAGGCACTGTTTCTACATACTGCAAGTTCAACTAGTGTTTCGAACATTTATTTTGTGACATATCTTCTTAGTATCCATTACATGATGCAATTGATCAAAGGTTGTCGCCACGAAAGCTAGCCTTCGTTGTCGGCGCCGCTGACCATCTCTCCGACAGGACCGTCCGCCCAAGGATAGTCATTGGGGATCGCCCGTGACTCCAAGTTCCGTCCCCTGTTTTCTGCTGCGATTGAATTCGATTGAAAAACATTACGAGCTTTTCGTGTCTTAAAGCAGAATAGTTGCTCAAATCCCTCTATCTGTATGTTTAGTACAAAGAGACCCTAAAGTGATTATGATAGAGAGAGAACCTGTCTTAGGAGTTTGAGTGAGAACCCTCGTTGCTTCGCCGCCGAGCGTGGCGGCGGAAATAACCAGAACGAGCACGGCGGCCGCGAGAAGCGACCTGTTATAACCCATCTCTATGTACCTGCTTCTCTATTACAAGGGCTAAGAAGGGCGGAGTGGTATGCCTATTGAATGCATATACTTGATAGGTGTGTGTATATATATATGCGTGCACACGAGCATGTATTCACACTCAATGCTTTGACAATGCAAAGGTCTGGTATAGCTAGATCGAGAAGCGCTTGCCGTGTAGAATAAGACTTGGCTCCGTGTGTCTAGCAGAAAAAGAATGATTTTAAAAATATTATTTCTAAGAATGATTGTTTGTATCTTCGCTTACAAAGTTGAATGAATGAAAACCATTTTTATCATTCAAGAATATATTTAGACGTAAATTGTTGTCGGTAACGAAGACATCTTTCGCTCGCTAATTATTGCAAGCGATATAATCGAATTGTTTTAGGAAACGCTTCTCAAATCATTCATTTTTCGCGAAATCAACGGAGCCTCGACATCGCGTCGTCGTGTTTAATTTGCTTGAACCAAATTGGTCTAGCCACTTTGTTATGCAGGAATGCATTTGTGATGAGTTTCACAAGCTAATTCGTCAAGTTGTTATTAGGGTTATTGCTATGCCATCTACCTTAACCTTATGGAATTAGTGAAATGAATAATTGGTCTCTAATTACACTTGGCCATCATATGCACTTACGCGTGATTCTCTCTTTGCTCGAGTCGTGCAAAGAGAAACTAATACACGCAATGTAGAATAGTCATAGGTCAGCACTTAGGTCAAGCACGGCGTTGAGTTGTTTTCAAGCGCATAAATACACTCTGTTCCTTTTATGGTCTCTCGGGGAACCGTTGCTTGATGCAAAGTGTCGTGTCGTGCAATGTCGCGAAACGTTCTTAATGGATAGTTGAGATCTTTTCTTTCTCGGTTACCGATCTTTGATGGAATGGTTCCTCGAGGGATCGTAGCTAGAAGCAGGAAATTTACCATAAAGTCCAAGTCAATTCGCGTACCAATAAAAGGTCCAATATGTTCAGCGGCGGTCCATATATCTTGCTATGACTTGATGTTTATAGGCGTGTTCAAATTCCAAGTTGCGTCGGAAATGCGTGTTTACACCACTGGGTGTTAGAAAATACACAGCAAAGCCAACATCGACCCGTTATCGTCTCGGCTTATAACGTAGCTGCCGCCGTGCGATGAACCGTCGAATTGCATCCGTCTAGACTGGGGTTGTTCTTGGGACCACCATGTTGTTCTCCATCCATCCTCGTCGGATTAAGATTTCCGAACTCTTTCCTCGAATGTGGCCATCGTTTCAGCAGTCAAGATATCGACAGCTTGTGGCAATCTCAGCAGCAATCACGGTTTCGGAACGGTCGCTTCCGCTTGGCCCACTATGGCGGAGAACTCGGACTGATCCACGGCATGTCATCATCTGATGAAAATAGCACAATCTGCTGCAAGCTGAACGCAGAGAAGAAGAGCGTTACATGCATGCAAAAGAAAGAGTTAGGCTCTGAGCTTCGTTAGGTTCGAGATTACCCTTTGAAACTTTGCTTATCAAATCAAGAATTCGCTCTGAGCATTCTTGGTGGGTAATCTACTTTCGTTGATTCTTACAGATGTACTATGAAAAGGCAAAGCAAAAAATCAGACTGACAGTTTCATATGACTTGAAAATTTCAGTGACCATGATCAACCTGAAGTCACATGTCTTGCTTTGGTTTCTGCTACTTCTATCTTGCAATGCCGAAGTGAGAGCAAATTCAGAAGCAGAGGCGCTCATCTCGTGGAAGTTGACCCTCGAGAACCAATCCGCGCTTCAATCGTGGACTACCGGCGGGACATTCGGCCCGAACCTGTCGACGAGCCCGTGTGGATGGTTCGGCGTCTCTTGCAGCACGGAGGGCAACATCGCGAAGATACATCTCCCAGGCGCGAGTTTAGGGGGAAACCTCACAGGCTTGGACCTCTCGTCTTTCGGCGACCTCGTGTCCCTCAAGCTCACCCAGTGCAACCTCTCGGGGCCTATTCCACCTCAAATCGGTTCGCTCTCGAAGCTGACGCATCTCAATCTCTCCAGGAACGAACTCTCCGGTAGTCTCCCGCCGACACTTTCGAACCTTACTCGGCTCTCCTTGCTTTCTCTTGGCAACAACATGATAAGTGGCGAACTCGATCCGCACTTGTTTTCCAACTGGACTAAACTCTGGTACCTGCAACTCCACAACAACAATTTCACGGGGAAAATCCCCTCGGAGGTTGGCCTCCTAACAAATCTCATAGAGCTAGCTATCTGTAACAACCTTCTGAACGGCTCGATCCCGTATGAAATCGGAAACCTGAAGCATTTAGATGCTATAGCCTTATATAGGAATCATCTTACCGGTCCTATCCCGCAGTCTATCGGCAATCTTACTCGCTTAACGATGTTGTACTTGCAGCAGAACCATCTTTCAGGGCCTATTCCTCACGATATTGTCAAGTGCACAGGGCTAGTCGACTTGCGGCTGTTTGAAAACAACTTCTCGGGTTCGGTACCTCAAGGACTCGCCAACTTTTCATCCCTAAAGGTGCTTGAATTCTCCGTAAACAGTCTCTCTGGTCCCTTACCGCAAGTCTGCCAAGAGTCTCCTCTCGAAAAATTTACAGCCGCCTTCAACAGCTTCACGGGTCCAATGCCTAGAAGCTTGAGAAATTGCACCACTCTCGTGCGAGTCCGTCTCGAGAGCAACTTCCTTTCGGGGTATCTAGACCGAGACTTTGGTGTCTATCCGAACCTCAATTATCTCGACTTGAGCTACAATAAGTTGAGGGGGGTCCTCTCCCCAAACTGGGCGTCATGCCTAAAGCTGACGCTGCTAAAAGTTGCTGGAAATGAGATTGGCGGCACAATTCCGAACGAGCTCGGGAAATTAAGTGTACTAGGTGTGCTCAATCTGGCGTCTAACCACATTACCGGATTAATACCGCGACATTTAGGAAACTTATCTTCTCTGTTTCAGCTGAATTTAGGAGAGAACAAGCTGTCAGGTCCGATTCCGCCTCAACTTGGGCATCTGCTGCGTCTCGAGGACCTTGACCTCTCATCGAACGAGCTGGGAGGCCCAATTCCCGAGCAACTCTGGAAATGCTCGAAGCTGCGGAATCTCGTCCTGGCGGCTAACAATTTTAATGGGTCTATATCGCCTCAGATCGGAGACCTAGCACTGCAAGGTTCACTGAACTTGAGTCATAACTGCCTCGCCGGCAATATACCTCCACAGATTGCAAAGTTGGCCTTGGAGCATCTAGATCTCTCTCACAACGAGCTGTCTGGCGAAATCCCTTCTTCCTTTGTCCGGATGACCAGTTTGACGTCGGTCGACTTCTCGTACAATGAACTGGAAGGTCCGATTCCCGACGGCAAAGTTTTCCTCCTCTCCGCCTCAACTGCATTCAGCAACAACAAGAACATGTGTGGCCCGGTCCAAGGTTTCCGACCATGCTATGCTAAATTACCGGAGAGCACAGTTCGCAGGAAAAGCCACAAATTGTGGATCATACTAGGCGTTTCTTCATTAGTCGTTCTATTCCTCATTGTAGTATTGCTCGGGAAATCCATCCTATCCCGCGGAAGAATGAAAAGCGCGAGTGCAAGAATTGCCGGGCTGAACAGCAGAAATGTTTTCTCCGTGTTGAACTACGATGGGAAAGTCGTCTACGAGGACATTGTCGAAGCCACAGAGAATTTCGATGACAAGTATTGCATCGGGGAGGGCGGAAGCGGAAGAGTCTACAGAGCTCTGCTTCCAACAGGACATGCGTTGGCCATAAAGAAGATCAGGTCCTCGGAAGGCGATGAAATAGAGCAGATCACAGCAAGCTTTCTCAATGAGATCAAGTTGTTGACAACGATCCGACATCGAAACATCGTTAAGTTTTACGGATTCTGCTCCAGTGGACCGCATAAGTTCCTCGTGTATGACCTGATCGAGAAGGGAAGCTTAGCAACCATCCTGAACGACGGCAGTGAAGCAGCAAGGCTCGACTGGAGGAGGCGAGTGGAGATCGTGAGGGACATAGCCTGTGCCCTGTGTTACATGCACAATGACTGCACGCCGCCCGTGATTCATCGAGACATATCGAGCCGAAACATCCTGTTGAACACAGAGTACGAAGCTTTTCTATCCGATTTCGGCATCTCTAGGATTTTGAAGCCCGATTCGAGCAATTGGACGGCCGTGGCAGGCACGTACGGTTACGTCGCTCCAGGTAACTCTTCTCGCGCCTCTCTCTCTGTGTGCTTTACAAGTTTACGCATCATTCATCATCTGTCACTGGAAACATTCCCTTCAGCATAATTGGATTGATATAGGACGTGCCTTAAGATCATACTAATTGAGCCTCTAATCCTGTGGTTAACAGCTTCAGGACTATATTACTATCAGCATATCAGACTTTATATACTAAAGTCCAATGTCTGTACGATCTTGGGCTTTTCATATTACCTAGACTGAAATACATAGATAACTCCGTATACTTGGAAATAGAAGGCAAGCTATTTGTAAAATCGCTATTCTGATGACGGATTTCTCGTTGCTTGATGCCAGAGCTCGCATACACAATGAGCTTGACTGAGAAATGTGACGTTTATAGCTTCGGTGTCCTGTCACTCGAAGTGATAGTGGGAAAACACCCGGCGGAGCTCGGTTTATCTCTGAATTCCCTCCAATCAGAGCAAAGCATGGAGCTAGAAGGTCTGTTAGATGCACGTCTTCCACCTCCGGCGGATCAAATCACCATGAATGAAGTGAAAGTGTTAGTGAAGCAAGCATGTTCATGTGTAGATGTTGATCCAAATCGCAGGCCAACCATGAGAGAGGTGTCGCAGGCGCTCCTCATACATTAAAACAATCTTCACTAGTCTCAAGCATGTACGCACACTTGTATCTTTTGGCAATAATCGATTCCGTCCTAGTCCCACACGAGTGGGCAAATTTAAGGATTATAATGGGCAATGGAACGACTCGATAGATGGACCGATCGTGACAATCATGTTCTTGTTCATGTGCAATAAAATCTTTTTTAGCACAATCAGATTGGCTGATCATGATGATCACGTTCTTATTGCTTGCACAACAAAAGACAAAATGCGAATTACATGGAAAAAAACTGGAACATAACACGATACGATTCACTTAATCCGTACACGAGACATATTTCAGAATAGTAAATTGAGGTTGCCATTTGGGCTCATGGAAGCTCATCGAGGTGGGATGGGCCAAAGCCAGCATATGCACCAATCACAACTTGAAAGAGCCCAGCTGGATATTTTTCCTCGGTAAAGAAAGTGAAGGGCAAGCATTTACTAAGATCAGATCAAGGTTCAGCCATATCAACACAAGTGTTGGAGCTACTAAACCCAATGAGATAAAACTTTGAGCAAACCAAGGAGGGAGGGCAGACATTTAATGGTAGCAGATGGAAGAGTGATCAATACCCTGAAGACAGAACCCGCAACAAAAGCAAGAGACCTTTATATATTAGCAAACAGAGAGAGGATCTTGCTCATCACATTGGGTACATAAGAGATGGAGAAGATTTCTAAGCTAGCTCTTGTGCCGCTCATAATGTTGGGGCTGTGGTTGATGATCGTCCCTCCTCGGGCTGTGGCTTGTCCTTCGGACGGCGGTGCGTGCCGAGACTGCATCCTGAACCGGCTGAACCACGGTTGCCCATCATGCGGGCCGGTTCTCCGCTGCATGGGGCAGTGCTTGTGGGGCGGGTCATCACGAGCCCAATGCACGAGGAGGTGCGACTGCAACGGCGGGAAGCCAAAACTGTCCGATTGCAAGAAATGCATGTCCAAGTGCAAGTGCAGCTGTGTGGCTTAGGCTCAATAATTTACCAGAGTTCTTTTGCTGTGTGTTTTGAAGGGAGTAACCGGGGCTTTAGATTGTATAAATTCTGGTCTTTCTTGACAGATCTTTGGTACTTGTTTTCTGACTTAATGGAGTGCAAGCTCTGATTCCTTTGAGCCAAAAATAGGTGCTTCTGCATCTGAAATTGCTTATCCAATACGAAATATGGAGGCATACCAGAATCTGCTAGTTCAAATCGGATGAATTAGCATAGGAAAGATGCCCAGGAAACTAAAGAAACAAGTGACAGATGATTTCATTTAATAGCAAATCAAGTTTACATGAAACATTAATATGCAACTTCAGTATGTCACTCAAATGTTGGTGACAGGAAAAAAAAAAGGTCTATCAACCGTGATGAGAATGAACACTCAAATATTCACTAACATTTGACTTGGGGATAAAAATGTTGGAACAACCTATGAAGGAAACTACCAACATAAATTTGAATCAATGTGGGCAATAGAGATGCAACCTTGCAATTTCAAGTGAGACATCGCAAATTTCGAACTTCTACAAGTAGCTTCTCAATTGTGTACCCTTTTAACTGACAACCTCAAATCACACAATTTCGCACTTTCCCCGCATCGGCATTCACAAAAAAGAAGCATCATTGCATTTGTACCTTTTAAACTCTCTTCCCACCATTTCAAGAACACAATCACAATTGCAGCAACTTGCCCGAATTCGTCCCTCCCGTTCAAAATTCAAATGGTACTTCAACTGGCTCTAACTCACACATAATAGCCATCAAGATCCAGTTGAGGGACATGGATCATTATGGCGATATTTTCTATTCGTCTCTTCTTTCACAAACATTCTCCTCAGCCTGCATGATTGTTCCATGATCAACTTATAAGTTGAAAGGTGATTCCAGGCCACGAACGAAAATTGGTCGGTGTATCCTTGCATATCATCTACTAACAATTGCCAAATCAAGGCTCCAGCTCCAGCTTGCCTCTTCTTTGCTGATTCATATATTTTGTCATAAACCGTCTTGAAGAACATATCTCTTTGATATGACTCTTGTCGATTCTGATGCAATGAAGACCCAACTTCTGTGAAAAGAACTGGTTTCTTCAACATGTCATCCCCATCACGTATGTGAGCATCCACCCACCGTGAAAGATATTTCACTTTTTCGTCCAAACCGGCCTCCGGGATCCTTCAATGAACAGCGAAGAATTTAAAAGTAAAGCAGAAAACAGAAATGCAAAATTTGCGTAGAAAGCGAAGAGTCATTGGCTATAGCTCCTTTACAACAATTACATGCAAGCTTTCAGGATCTCCACTCCTTTTAATGTTGTTAATTTAGACATGATAATCTTTCTATAACCAAAAAGCACAGCTAGCGGTATTGGGAGAAGCATTCTAATTTCAAGTGGCGGCATCTTCTAGTGATGCTTAAAGCACTTATCAAAGTGATTTTAGTTTCTACAAGCATCATCCCAGGCTGAAGCTTACTAACCAACTATCAGGATATGCATGGACAGAAGCAAAATCAATGTCATGAATTGCCGAGTTTTTAAGGAAATCTGTTCCAAGTGAAGATGCCCATTCCCCAGGATTAACTGCATTTTTTTCTTGTGTTTGCAACCCATAAAATCCCTCAACTCCAATCGTAACAAGGTGTCTTTGGTCTAAGCTCTTGATATACGCAGCCATCTCAGTGATCCAAGACTGTTACACAACCAAAACCAAGATCAGGACAGAAGCATGAGAAAGGATGAGAGTATGTGCAATACACAACGAAAAAAGATGAGCTCATAACATAACAAACAACAAGATTGTTTCCCATTCATGGAAATCGGCATGAAATAGCAATAATAACAAAGCGTATCAATTGTCAGTCTGCTAGATGCGAATATCTAGGAGATATTTAAGGATTTCTTTTGCATAGTAAATAAGGTGTGTTCTTCACTCGATATGATCACAGAAGTGTATCCAGCAAGAAACACAAGCCTGAAAGCATCCAAGGAATTAGTCTTCTAAATCTTAAGATACATGATGAGAATGAGATCCACATGATTTTTTCCATTAATGTTAAATTATGCTTCAGGGAATGACATGAAGTGACAAGATTTTAGAAACGTTAACATAACCTCTTCCTCTGATCCCATAGTCCGCATAGCTGAAATAACGGTGACAATGACCAAAAGAAGAGAGAGAGAGAGAGAGTTCTGAAATTTACCTGAACAAGCGGCGCAGACGACTCAGATACACCGCGAGGTTCATTCATGAGCTCCCAAGCAAAAATAGCTGGTTCATCAAAGTAATGAACTCCAGTCATGGAGTTTTTTCTTGTTACTACCGTCTGCACAATGCAGGGTAGTTATGCAAGCAATCATATGCCTTTGTTGTGCAGCCAAAATACTGTGGCACAGGGAACGACATTCATCCGCTTCTAATGCCTAGCATGAAGCAGAAAAATGAAAGAAGAATCTACCTTGACATAAGCCTTGTAGTACTCCTTTATTGTGGGATGCGAGAAAAACGAATCTGCCGATGAAGAGACGTTCTCTCCATCTTCTTGTGCCCATCTGATATACTGTGCTTTACCACCAAAAGCGTTCAAATTGTTGACTAAGCTCAGGATTACTCGCACCCGATTCCTCCGAGCTTCAACAATTACATAATCTAATCCCTGAGATCAAATTAACAAAGGTAAGAACATCGAAATATCCCCCCCAATGTTGCTTGTATAAAAAAAGTCAAATCTATATCCACAGGAGAGCCATCACGGAATGACGAGAGTACAAACATACTGACAGCTATTTCTATATCTTGATGAGCATCTCTTCACCACAAAGTTAGCACCAATCACCTGCCTCTTCGCTCGACTCGCTACTTACAACCATTTTCGGCAGCCGTATAAACTAATTCCTACTGGAATCACTATGGTCTACGGCTAACATTCATAGCTGCAACAAAACTTCTTGCAATTCTTCATTGGAGATTCAACTATGAGGAATCCGATACTTCCCCTATATAATGCACATGTCAGTAGGACAAAATGACAGAAAAATAGGAGTTCTGCAATTTTTTAATCCACACTCAACTAACTCCTGAATTCGAACCGCGGAACCAAAACTTAACTGAATCCTAAAATTCGAGTAGCGAATACATTCGTTTCTAAATCAACATAGCGAATCTCTCCGTGCTTTCTGGGGCTACAATGCAAACCAATCTAGCAACGGGGAAAAAAATCTACACTTCGCCATCACCGACACTGAACATGAAAGGACAACTGTTCACAATCAAGAAACACAGCGCGTCAAGAGCTCATTTCACAAACCCTGAACACCCTCTCGTCGAAAACGCCCGGAGACCTCTGCAGCGCGTTGGGTCCATCGCCGTCGCTGAAAGCCCACGTCCTGCACACGGTCATCCCCATCCCGGCCCCTCGCCTCATCATCTCCGAGACCCTCCCCCTCGACTGACCCCACACGCTCTCCTCCATCAACCAATACGAGTTCCACCCATTGACGTACACCGCCGACTGGTTGGCCCTACCCGCCCCGCCGCCTCCGCCCCCGGCGACCACGAACCGGGTCGAGTTCGTCCCCACGAAGCCCATCTCCGGGAGCCACAGGGCCGGGAAGGTGAAGCTGAAGCCGAAGCTGGTCCCGTCGAAGTTGAGGTAGAGGATGAGGAGGACGGTGATGCCGCCCAGGATCGGATACAGAGCCTTGTCCCTCCAGCTTGGCTCCATCTTCGCGGCCTTTCTTCTTCGCTCGAGTTTGGTAAGGCGTCGAAGGAGAATCGTTGAGGAAATCGTTGGTTTTTTGCAATGCGGGCCGAGAAAAGTCAGCGTCTGACGTGGCGCCTCGCTGTCGGTGCTTTCTCGTCCCGCCGACAGTGACGTGGCGCGCGCTGAAGCGGGTTGATTGGTTCAGTTGGCAGTTAATTAAGGAAGAGCGGCGGTTGCTGCTTCGCCCTCCGTTTCAAGCATAGTCAACACAGTACCGGTTGTTGTTTTTTATTTTTTTTTGGGTCGAAAGGAGTGGTTGTCGTAATTAAGGCTAATTCCCTTTAAAAAAAAATCCCCGAATTTATGTCAAATCTTAATTTTATCCGGATCTTTGTTTTTTTTTTAAATTATTAATTTTCACTTTAATCTTAAATCTGTTCAGGCATTTAAAAATCGCCACTAGTTTAGTTAAAATTATCAATATCAAGATCAAAGGTGAGGGTGTTGATAAAGGCACAAGTCCCTGATAATGAACTTCTACCGAACTCTGATGTTGATAATTATGAAGAAATTATGGTTATTTTTGGACGCATGAACAGATTTTGGACTAAAGTGAAAATTATGAGTTTCTTTTAGGAAAGAAGTTTAGGTATATTTGGAATTGAACCTAAAATTTGAGTTTTTAGAAAATTAGGACATGTAACTGTGAAGAGAGAGAATTACACTTTGCCCCCTCAAGTTTTTGTAACTGCTGATGGTTGCCTCCTAACATTTCAATTTTTGCAATTTGCCTCCTAACTTTTGAAATTTGTGGCAATATGCCACCTAGTGTTGACTCCGGCCTAACTTTTTCCTCGTTTATCGAATCGCGTGACTAATTTTTAGAAGGTGAATTGGTCATATATAAATCAGTCACATGATTGAATATACCTATATGTTGATAAAAAAAATATATAGGGACTATTCAAAAATATAATTCAGAACTGTATATCAATGCACATTTGGTATTGACTCCGATCAAATTCTCACGAGAACTTTAGCCACACACTATTTCCACATTATTCTTCGCCTTTTCCTGATATCTGCATACTTATGTGAAGAATTTGCCCGTCGTAATTACTCGCGTGTACGTGTTGTCTCGTGGTCGGGAGCTCCAAGTAAAACTTGGTCGGAGCCGGCTCCGAAATTCAGGTGGCAAATTGGAAGAATCCGAGACGTCGGGGGAGCAATTTGCAACAACCCTAAAAACTTTGGGTGGTGGGGGAATATGGGGGCGGTCGGAAGACGTGATCGGGCCGGGCCGGGCCGGCCTTGGCCCAAAGACGCAACTACAGGCCCAGCCCGAAATACTAATGGGCCTATTCTTTTCTCCCGCAAGGCCCGGCCCGTATCGGATCCTCCTGCCCCATTCTTATATATGCGCGCTTTCCCCCCCCCCTCCGCAAAGCGCATTTTCTCGTTAAACTTCTCTTCACGTTCATCCCGCGAGCCATCAACGAACAAATCGAATCGGAACGACGGAAATCGCCTCCAGAATCTCGATCCCAATCCGAAGCTCGACGTCGATCGCGCGAATTCGCGGTTCCGCCCGTTCGAATCGCAAAACCCTAGCGGCGGTTCATCGTCTTCCCGGAAGATCACCTCGTCGCGCTTGCCGCTGTAGTTTTTTCCCGGTTGGATTCCGCGGCTGAGCGGGATTCGAAAGGGGGGGAGGGAAGGAAGGAGGATGTCGTTCGATCTGGTGCTGAAGCCGACGTGCGGCGGCTGCGGGTCGGCGGCGGACCTCTACGGGAGCAACTGCAAGCACATGACCCTCTGCTCCACCTGCGGCAAGACGATGGCGGAGTCCCGCGCCAAGTGCTACGACTGCGGCGCCACGCTCACTCGCTTGATTAGGGTTTGTCTCTTCGCCTCCCCACTCTCTCTTTCTCTCTGTCTCCCTTCGGCGGATTGAGTGTTCGTGTGCGGGTGTGGTTCTTACTGGTGCGTTGGTTGTTTAGTTAGTCGATTTAGGTGGCTCGAGGGTTGTTGGTTTTGTGATTGAGTTTTTGTGAGGGCGAGGGTTTACGAGCTGTCTGTGGTTTTTTCATATATTGTTTGGAAGCCGAGATGCGTGTACTGTGCGCCGTGTAAAGGGACGTAAACGGAAGCTGAAGTGCCGTGTATGTTGTGCACTGTGTAGGAATATAATGTCCGAGCTAGTCCCGGCAGTGAAAAGAACTACTTCATCGGTAGATTTGTCACTGGTTTACCGAATTTTTCGAAGAAGAAGAGCGCGGAGAATAGGTGGTCCGCGCAGAAGGAAGGGCTGCAGGGGCGGCAAGTTACGGATGCCTTGCGGGTACAATTGGATTCTCCTCATCTATGGGCTTCCCGTTTTGCTATTTTGGAAAGTCTGTAGATTGTTTCTTTAATGGTCTATAACTGTCCTGTTCCTCACATTTCGCAATTGGCACTGCCTTTTTCGATATATAGGAGTTGAAGGATGGGTAAAATGTTCTCACTTCTGTTTAGTTAAATCATCCGTTTGGTCGAAATCCTCTTTCCTGATGCATTTTGTTGAGTAACATGCTTGGAGTTCGCAGTAATTTATGGTTGTGTCATTACAGTCCTCCTTATGCGTATGTCATTATGGATTGCAGTTTTTTAATATGATTTTATTGGTTCAATTTTAGTTCTCTCATGGTTTAAATTTTCAACTTCTACAATTATGGTTTTAAGCATCTGACTCGGTTATATCTTGGTTCTCAAAAAATTTTATTGTGGCGCTCATATTGTCATGCTAAGGTTTATGAATAGATTTCATTTTAGGGGCCTGCAACGTTCTAATTGCGTTCAAATTGATACATGCGGCTGGTCTGATGCTGCCTTTGTCTTTGGTTCTCTCTGTTGTTCTTTGGCACAATTGCATCTCATAGGAGAAATATAAGAATAAACCCTGGCTTTTGGAGGATGAAACGGGACAGTCTCAGTATCACGGCCATCTTGAAGGTTCCCAATCAGCTACTTACTACCTATTAATGCTTCAAGGAAAGGAGTTTGTTGCTATTCCTGCTGGTTCTTGGTATGAAATACTAATTGCTAATTAATGTTTCATTTGTGATTTTCCTCTCTTCTAGGCTTTTCTTCAGCATACAAGGGTTCTAGAGCAGTGGGTGGGGTTGCAATTTCACAAATTGTACTCCTTGAGACTGCTTATATTGGCTTATAAACAAATCTGGAAATAGTTGTCGGACAAAATCCCCCTTTGTGGTTAAAATTGGAGGAATAGTTGTGTTTTTTTGCGGCTTTTGAAGTTAATTTCTTGGACAAATATAATGAATAAGTTAAACATGCACCAGAAACTACATCAAGTGGCAGGATATTTCCACTAAAAGATACATTTGAGGATGAACTGAATTTAATATGGCCCCTCTACATGATAAAAGAGCAAGATACTTAAAAAGAGTGTAAAGTTGTTTTTCTTAGTCCGAGATTGCTCACATTAGTGAGGAAAGGGAGTGAAATAATTATTCATTTAGGAAATGTTAAATAACACATCATGCTAAACGGGTTTCAACCAAACACCTTTGCCACAAGGGGGAATAGAGAAAGTGGGGCAGGCTAATCGCGGGGTTTGGGTGGGGAAGGGTGGAGGAGTAGTTGCAATACCATGAAATTTCTATTATTCATATGGGAGCTTATAATTGTGTTCCTGTGAGATGGATAGTGTTCCTTTATTACATTTATCGTAGAAATGCTGCACATTTATCAGCTATACAAGTCACATAGGATGTAATTGGAGTGGTGACAAACTGGTCACATGTTTTACAGGTACAACTTTAACAAAGTTGCACAGTACAAGCAACTTACTTTGGAGGAAGCAGAAGAGAAAATGAAGAACAGGAAGAAAACTGCTGATGGTTATCAGAGGTGGATGATGAAAGCTGCTAACAACGGAGCTGCTGCCTTTGGTGAGGTTGAGAAATTCGAAGACAAGGAAAGTAGTAGTGGAGGTGGTGGTGGGAAGGGACGTAAAAAGACAAGCGGCAACGACGATGAAGGTAACGCATCAGACAAGGGAGAGGAAGATGAAGAAGAAGAGGTAGCTAGGAAGAGTAGACTAGGACTCAACAAAAGGGACGGTGATGATGACGAAGAAGGTCCAAGGGGAGGGGATCTAGATTTGGATGATGACGACATTGAAAAGGGTGAGGGTGTCTTGTTTATCTGCTGTTTTACATTGGAAACAATCAGATTCTTTCTGTTTATTTTAGGTGGAGTTAGTTAGAGAACTTAATTGAAAAAGCAAAAGAAAAGAAGTTGGAGTAAATATCAGAAACACAAATTAGAGTCTAAAATTGGACTTTTCCTCCTCTCTTATTAGGGTAATATATTTTCAGAAGTTCAACTATTTGAGCAAGTGGCTGTTTTGTTATGAGAAATCAGGGACGCCTAAGGAAGTACTCTTTCTTCTGTATATCATGAATTACAATTGTAATCAATCTTTCAGTCAACATTATCATTTTTAACTCTTTACTTATATATGAAGAGCACATTTGTTTTTCTCACCTTGGTTCAACATTTTTGCACCATCCAGCATTTCTGTGATTTACTCGAGATCCCCTAATATGCAATTAGTTCAGATGTTTATTATGTTTGAGGTATTTCGTTTTGTTTGCTCTAGGTGATGACTGGGAGCATGAAGAGATTTTTACTGATGACGATGAAGCTGTTGGGAATGAACCACATGAACGAGAAGATTTGGCACCTGAAGCTCCTCCTCCTCCAGAAATCAAAGTATGTATGCTTGTCTTTCTGCTGCTAGGCCTTTTTGCGGGAATGCCAGAAATATATCGGTCAGAGATGCATTGATGAGGTGTTATTTGGTTACTACGATGTATTAGCAAGGCAAGATAGTAGGAGGATGGCATTTCCTTAGTAAGCAGAGTGCCAATATAGTGTCTTCCTTAGATCGATGATCTATTATTTACCAAAATTGAGTCCTTTTGGGCCGAATCATGATTCGTGATGCCCATCAAATTACAGGAGTTATTTTTTTTTTTTATTTCTTGATTTGTCCTGATTAGTTTTTGTATTAAAGCTCAATTTGTCATTGGCTTAGTTTATGAATATTGCATGCTCTTGCTCATGGTCTTCTTAGATAGCATTAATGGTAAAAGCTACCTTTGATCCTCCAAATTTACTCCATATTGCCCTCCAATCCCTCAACTTTACAATTGTGATATTCTTACCTTTGAATTTTCAAAATTATGACCAAGGACAGTTTTATTCACATCAATCTTATTTTCTATGAAGTTGTTTATTCGCTTGAGATTAAACTATTGTAATAGTTTTCTGCTGAAATATTTCTGCGTCTGAGCACATCATGCATTAATAGCATAGAATTAAACTAGCATTGTAGAATTGGCAAATTCTTGACACGTGTCAAATTTTAACGGCAAAAGTTTTTTGAGCGATTTGCACTTAATTTCAGAATCAAATGAACTCATTGGTTCTGTGAAAAGTTACCCGGAGTGTTATGACTAATGCAGATTTGTGGTCATAACACAGGTAAGAAACTTTTTATTTGATTTTATTTTTTGTGCGTTGTTGCCAGGGGGGGAGTTTGGGGTTTGTGTAATTCCAGGCAAAGTTGAGCAGCGAAAAGTGTTGTCCTACATTGATGGCCATGAGAACTGGTTATGATGATTGTGCATTTGATTTATTCTAAAGGATGATGACGATGAGGATGAAGCAAATGAAGAAGAAGGAGGACTGAGTAAATCTGGAAAAGAGTTGAAGAAGCTGCTTGGACGAGCTAGTGGGGTCAATGATTCAGATGCAGAGGAAGATGACGACGATGAGGATGTAAGTTTTCAAATTGACTGCTCTGTGGTAAAATTAAGTCATCATTATTTTCAGCCCCTCTAGCATGGATTTCTTTTGCTCAAGGAGATGCATAGTCACTGTAATGGCAATCAAATTCTAATCGGAAGCTAACCATATCTGTTGTTTTTGAAAGATGCATGGTGATAGCTGCATCAAATAATGTCTCGTTCACTTTGTGCAGATGGAAGATGAGGTTGGATTTTCACCTGTACTGGCCCCTAAACAGAAGGAAGCCCCCAAAGAGGAACCTGTAGAAGAGAGCCCTTCAAAACCCGTTCCTTCTGCATCTGCTAAGGGAACTCCACCTACTTCTAAATCTGCCAAGGGAAAGAGGAAGTTGAATGGAGATGATGCTAAACCATCAAATGGTGCACCCCAAAAGAAGGTGAAGACGGAAACTGTATGTTTGTTGCCCTTTGCCTTTATTCTCTTGTAGTGTGGTTTTTGTATTATTTCTTTTCTGGACATGTGAACTTGCAATTTCTATTGATAGCCAATATAAATTGTAACTTACTTTCATTTACTCAATTGACTTTGTGGGATCAGGAAGCAAAATCTTCCGCAAAAGATGAAATTGTGCCCACTTCTAAAAGCAGCATTCCCTCTAAAGCTACACAGTCAGATTCGAAGAGTGCGTCTACGCCGACCGGACCAGTTGCAGAAGAAGAGATTAGAGCATTCATTTTGCAAAAGGCGCCTGTTACCACACAGGATCTTGTCGCTAAATTCAAAGCTAGACTCAAAAGCCCTGAGGTACTGGGTTACTCTTTGACGTCTTGTTTCCTCGTCTTCTGCTAATGATTCCGGAACTGCTGTCACTATTTAAGTAGTTGAAGTTTTGAAAAGTCTCATATGAATGAACTATTTAAGATATGGATGATTTTAAAATAATATGAATTTGGGGTTTTTTTTACACTTCCCTATGATGCTTAAAAAACAGCATGTATAGCTAGACTTGGGGTTCACGTGTTGATATACTTTCTTGGCACTCTTGTTTCTTATGTTGAACTTACAATTAGAAATAAAACAACCATCTCTTGTATTATCTGCTTTATCATGAATTCTCAGAATGTGCTGAAAGCAGGTTAAGTAGTATCACCAGCTTTTTTTTTTCTGAGTTGGTAATTTTTTTTGATGCAGGACAAGAATGCCTTTGCCGAGATCTTGAGGAGAATATCCAAGATACAGAAGACCAATGGATCTAGCTATGTCGTGCTGCGAGATAAATGATAACTTTGTATAGATTATAAGTCTGGTCGTGGATTAGCTGGATTTTGTTGATTGTAAGAAACGTTAAGGAAGAGGATGATGACACAGAAATTGGGGATTGAAATTGTTCCTCTGTGAATTGCTGTTCTGCTTCTCCTGCTGCACAATGTTTCTGGCATGAGAGAGAGAGAAATACTGCTATTGACAAAAATTCTGGCATTTTGCTGCTAAAATTGTGCTCTTCCTTACCAAATGACAGAAAAAATGTGTTGTCTACGAAAGTCTTCCAGGTTCGATTTGGATGCTGTCCTTGATTCATCCAGTATGTGATGTCATGTATGGTCCAGATTATTTTCACTAGACTAAAACATTATTGGGGCGCTGCTATAATCTCTTGGAGGTGCTAAAGGCTTTACTAGAACTGAAGAATTTGTCATGATCAATTGGAGACCCGAACTACGCATTAAAAAATATCGTGTAATAGCATCATTTGATGAAATTCAGATTTTAGCTTCAGAACTGCTGGATAAGAGCTTAGGGGAGAAAAGGAACAAAGAGGAAAGAGCATTACGCCCAACAACGCCACCACATGAACTACAACGAACATGTAAGCAAAAGAACGGTCGTTTTGTTAGTGTTACAGAATGGCATCGCTCTCTTCATCACATTCGAGTTGCTCCCCCGGAGAACAAAACAGGATGATATCAGATTCCTGAGGCAGCCGGAACCGAACCCTCTTCCTTGAGCGCCCATTTTCACCGCGCCTCACGTTACATACCTCAGAAGGGCACTTGTCTTTGACTTCTGCGTGCTTATTCACCGGTCTCTCCAAGGGCAAACAGTCTCTCGCCTTCGAGGACAAAGTGACATCGTCAACCAGTCCCAAGCAAGACAGGTGGACTTTGCTTGGCTTAAGCACACAAACTTCACCAACATCAGTGTCAGCCAAAATTACTTGATCAAAACTAGGAGAAGCTAGTAAGCATTTCTCTAATGTCAGCGTTTCGGCTTCTGTTAGTTTCTTGCCTTGTGGGTGAAGTGATCTCTGCTTCTTCCTTTTCTTCTTGACTTTCAAGCACTCAGGCTTGAGCAATTCGATGATGCAGGATTGTGGGGTTGGATCACTGTGGTTGATGGGGTCTGTGAGAGCTTTCGGGTGCTTGAAAGTGCTTACTTTTGCACCCATCGTTTGATGGGTCTCCTCCAAGTTTGAGGAGGAGTACTTTGTGCTAATGTCAAAATCCTGAAGATATTGATGAATCATATGAATATCTGTTCTTGACCAGGCTATATATACATGCCCAAATGCATAGATTTGTGGGAGGAAAGAACAAGAAGAAGATGATTATGAACATTGGAGGGCCTCAGTTAACAACGCGAAATTGCATGGGATGTGGAGATTTAAGTTTTTGAAATTGCATTTTGAGATCTCTGGATGCTGTTACTAATGAAGAAAGAAAAAGGTCAGATTGTCCATGTTACTGTTGTATTATACCAAATTTTCCTTGCAAACTCTACATTCTACTGTTCTTGGATTTCATGGCCAATGGGAAATCAGAAGGAACATGAACCAGTGGTGTAGATGATTCCCAAGTAGATTCATGATGTACATGGGATTACAGACAGGACAGCTGGGATAAAACTTGCTTTTTTTGTTCTATGCACATAAAACTACAAGAATATCATACCATCATGTTCGATCCTTGTCCTATTTAGATTCATAGTCATTGTCTAGAATCTTTGTTGGCCGAAAGAATGAGATGTCTGTCCGTCCTCAATCGATATATTCATAGAGGATTCTCAGCTTGTGGGAGTAAGAATCCTATTAACTAATTCTCTGCTTCATTGCAAGCAACGCCTGAGGTATGCACGCCGGCTCATCATGTGAAAATTTGTACTATAGCTTAGGAACTTATTAACCGTATTGAGGGCAGTTCTTAGATTCCAAATTGACACTGCCCAAAGTGAAGAAACAGCTGTATTGTAGCTTTTTTTCTTATGATGTCGGGATTTGCGTGTAACCTGTCACGAGATATGGCTCGCTCTGGCCCTCTCGTTAGGAAAGGTTTGAGCCCTTGCTAATAATCTACGACCATCCTCGGATCTGAACCAATGTGAGATTTATCTCTCCCTTAACACAAGCCCCCTGGTCAAGGATGGACGTGAGCCGTGTTTTTGTGAAGGGGACTCGGTATGGGACTCTCACAGACGGCGCCATGTGATGATGTTAGAACTTGCGCGTGTCCCGTCACAAGGTATTATTTGCTTTACCCCTACTCATAAGTCGGAACCATATCCTCGGCTCTCAATCAACGTGGAACTTATCCCTCCCTCGACACAAGCCCCAAAAGTCAAAGGATGGGCGTGAGCTGTGTTCTACGCAGGGCTTTGGTATGCAGCTCCCACAGGTGGCGCCATTTGATGATGTCGAGATTTGTGTGTGTCCCGTCACGATGTATTGTTCGCTTTAACCCGTGGTCTCGTTGTTTTGTCTTCGTCAAAAGAGCTCTTGTGAGGAAAGAGGCGAGCCTTTACTTGTACGCCACAACCATCCTTGCCTCTCAGTCAAATGTGGAATTTTACCCCTCCCCTTGGCACTTTTGAACTTGTACGTCTTGCTTTTGTGAAGACTAGAGATAATTTGTATTTACATTTGATTGGAGGCTAGTAATTGTACATTAAGAGAGAGAGAGAGAGAGAGAGAGAGAGAGAGAGAGAGAGAGAGAGAGAGAGAGAGAGAGAGAGAGAGAGAGTTGAATTGAATTGATAAATTAACTTAGATGGTTGGATTTTGTCCTATAAGCTCTATGAGTCGCTCCATTTGTGATGCATGTGTTCTTTCTTATTCTAAAATGACATTATAGCCTTTCAACCCGTAATTCCTCATATTCAATATCCATTGTATTGTGAATCCCCGCTCATATTCCATATGTTGTTCAACTCCACGTGCTTTCTCTGTAGGATCTCAACAAAATTTGCACATGAAAATATGTGCTGGATTGGTACACATCACTTCCCTTCGAGATTTATCTATATGACTGATCATATGCGTGGTCACCCCTTCTCGTACTTTTGGAGAAACCAAGCTATCTACTAAGCGTAGAGGTAAGCTTGATAATGATCGAAGTGAATATCTTGATCATGCCATAGCGTACCATCGGCCGACCTTCTCTTTATGCAAATTATACTGATAGTAACATTGTATGCGCAGCTTTCTAACGGTCTTGGCTATCTCACTAGTAATCCTTATATGAATAGGTCTTAAGCCTCTTTATAATTTGGCTCTTCCTCATTCCATAAAAAACTATCGGTTTTTTTTCTTTATAAATCCTAAAGCGATTTTTTTCCTCATCCAGCTTCAATTCTGCTCAATTCTTCTAGCCTTGTTTTTGGCTCTCTCGTCGTCGTTTGCTTTCCACCTATGCCAATTCATCTTTGGGATTGGGATCACTTGCAATTTTCAAAGCACTGATTGTACGCACGATAATAGAAAAGTGGCCGATGAGATACGAAATCTCCGCCATTATTGGACGTGCAATGCACTGAACCCGAACACACTTCTGGTTCATCGAACTTGGTCGTGTGCATGTATGTGTACCTCCACGGTACCTGTAGTTTCACAGAAGAACAGACCAACATACAAAAAGAAACGAAAAAAGAAAAAAAAAAAAAAAAAAAAAAAACACAGATTCAGACTCTCCCCGTCGAGTCGCCGCATCTCGTGACGTGTACAACCAGTGCAATAACGAATCGGCACTTTCTGAAACGTCCCATGCCACGTGGAATTCAGCTCCTCCACGTGGCACTGAACATCCGCAATCCGTCTCCTCGGCGGCGGGGAACACGTGGGCGCGTCACGGCGGAGCGTGGGGGATTCACGCTCTTCGCTAAACGGCCGTTTGACGGCGTCATCGCCCGCTGACTGACTGACCGCAGCCAAAGTCACTCGTGTCCCAGCGGTGATGATACCATGTTGACATGGTGAGCAAAAAATAAGAGAAATCTTGCTTGCTTGATTTGAAAAAATGAATTTTGTTTATTTATTATTATAAGTGATGCAAGTGATTTTTTTTTTTTTGCGAAACAAACAGAATCGAGGTCAATTTTTTACATATATTTTAAAACCCATTCCAATTTATTTAAATATAAAAAGATTAGAAGAGATATGGATCCATATATTAATAAACAAATTTTATTTCCCTCTTTCCGTTTCTCTTGCCTGTATCGAGAGAACCTTTTATAGCTCAGATCATTTTGAATTTCGTCCCTTATGTTCTCGTAATTCGCTAAACTTTTCCTTCTTTTTTTTTTCTCATCATTCCATCCAAACTGAGCATAAATCCATAATTTCACGAAATACCGTCTTTTCTTATAGAAAACATCCGATCGAATAGTTCACAAACTAATACGGTCCAAAATTACCAAGTGCAATTTCCCATGATAGGGAAAAGAAAACATTTTCCACGTAGGACTAAATAAAAAAAATCTCTCTCGTTGACTCATGTGAGCTGACTAGCAGCTAGGAGCACAGCCTTGACTTGGGTGATAAGCAGCAAGTCCAAAGCAAAAGTGGGACCCAAAGGCATGCATTTAGCCTTTCGTTGTGTGCGGTGGAGACATCCTTAGTTTCCTCGAAATTCACCACGTTGTGTCTCCATCGTTCCTTCAGCCTCTCTGTCGCCACTTTCGTTCTGCAAAGTCTTGTCGTCCTTCTTCATGTGCACACCATGTCGCCATTATCGCCACACCCACCACCAAGGAAACTCCATCATAAAAACGTCCCTCTTTGCTCCGCAGTTCCTTCACGAACCCTTCACGCACCGACGACGACGGGGCAGAGAAGATGGGGAGAAGCTGCGGTCGGGTTCGGGAGGTTGGCGGCGGCCTTCGACGACGCGGGGGCGTGCGCGCGAGGGCGAGTGCTCGGCGGAGAGCCTCGCGGATCTCTCCGACCTCGTGGCGTCGTTCCTCGTGAGGGAGGAGGAGAAGAGGAGGAGATGAGGCGAGAAAGAGTCGGAGAGCAGCTGCTGGTCCGACTCCGAGACGACCAAGGACAAGATGTTCGGCTTGTTCCGAGGCTGCGACGGAGGATGGTGTCATTGCCGATGACGTGAAGAGGAAGATCCGAACGGAGGCTGAAGCTGCGTGGGGGTTGAGTGGGAAGTTGGGAACAACGGATTCTCGAAAGGGCTGAAGCGTAGATTCATGATGTACATGGGATAACAGACAACAGGGATAAAACTTGCTTTTCTTTGTTCTGTACACATTAAACTCCAAGAAGATCATACCGTTATGTTCGATTCTTGTCCTATTTGGATACATAGTCTTTGTCTAGAATCTTTGGTGGCCCATAGAATGAGATGCGTGTTCTGAATCGATATATTCATAGAGGATTCTCAGCTTGTGGGAGTTAGAATCCATTAACTAATTGACATAATAGGTTGGCATGATATCTGCTTCATTGCAAGCAACGCCTGAGGTACGCACGCTGGCTCATCATGTGAAAATTTGTACAATTAGCTTAGGAACTTCTCAACTATGTTGAGGGCAGTTCTTAGATTCCAAATTGACACTGCATAAGGTGAAAAAACAGCCGTCTAAACACTATATATCTTTTCTGACCAAAAAACACTATATATCTTTAAAGTATTGTAGCTTTTTTATAATGTCAAGATTTTTGTGTGTCACGTCACGAGATATTGCTCGCTTTATCTCTCTTGTTGAGAAAGGTTTGAGCTATCTTTGGATCTCAACCAATGTGAGAATTATCTCTCCCTTGACACAATGCTCTAGTCAAGGATGGATTGGAGGGGTATTTTGTCCGGGGATTCGGTAGGGGACTCCCATGGGCAAGGCCATCCGATGATGCTAGAAGAACTTGTGCGTGACCCGTCACAAGGAATTGTCTACTTTAATCCGTACCGTAGGCCTCGCGACTTTATCCTTATTAAAGGGCACTTGTGAGGGTCGGGGTGAGCCCTACTTAAAAGCCACAACCATAACTTCGGCTCTCAATCAATGTGTGACTTATCGCTCCCTTAACACAAGCACTCAATCGAGGATGCGTGCGAGGCGTGTTTCATGCAGGGAGTCAATTGGGATTCCCATAAGTGGCACCATTTGATGATGCCGAAACTTTTGTGTGTCTCGTCACGAGGTATTATTCACTTCGACCAGTGGCCTCATGATCTTGTATTTATCAAAAGAGCCTTCGTGAGGGAAGAGGTTAACCCTTGCTTATAAGCCACGACCATCCTTGAATTTTAATCAACGAGGAATTTGTTCCCTTAACACTTTTGAAGTTGTACATTTTGCTTTGGTGAATACTAGAGATAATTTTTATTTACGTTTAGTTTGGAAGCTAGTTAGTGTACACTAAGTTAGATAGTTGAATTGATAGACTAACTTAGATGATGGGACATTGTCCTATATATTCTATGAATTGCTCTTATTTGCAAATAAAGCGTGAGGAATGCATGATATGTATTTTCTTTCTCATTGTAAAATGTATTAGAGACTTTCAATTCATAATTCCTCATATTCGATAGCTCATATGCATGGGGATCCTTGCTCATTTTGTTCCTCATGTTGTTGAACTCCACATGCTTTCTTCGCACGATTTTAATCCAATTTGCATGCGGTAATGTGTAAACTATATATGAGACTTATCATATTTGACTATATATGACATGTCAAAATTGGCCATAAACTCATTTCTTAACACATATTTTGTTAGATAGGTTACTTATTTAGTAAATGCGTTTAAAATGATAAATCCCAAAATAATATGAGTTTTAAATGGATTCATAAATCACTTATATTCAATTTACCTTTATGACTCTTTCTCGCTCTCACTCAATCTCGCACTCGCTATATGAGTTTTCCTAGATTTGGTTAAAATTAAAGTGTTTTAATAATATAAGTCGTGACAGGTATAAGTCAAAATAGGTTAAATGGGGTTGGAGCATTTTCAACCTAATCCACCCATTTGACATAATGTGAGGTCACTTCATCCTCGTAGTTTTTAAGAAACCAAGCTATTTAGTAAGCTAAGTGGGGTAACCTTAATAATGAGAAGATTGTCCAAAAAATCATAAACATATTGATGTCCTAAAGCTTTTAATTGTACCAAATGAGTTATAAACTTTTTTTACGTTTTCACAATTAAGTCCATCTAGCCAATTTTGAGAAGAAATCATTGATGTGGACGCAGGCAGTCCGACGTGGCACGACCAACGCTTGCGCGGACATTTTTTATAATATTTTTCGAAATTTCTATCAAATTTTTTTTTCTCTTTTCCTTCTTCACTTTTTTTCCTTTTTTTTTTCCCTTTTCTCTGCTCTTAGGAACGGGCAAGGGCAGCCTTCACCTAGGCTGGCAAAGGGCTGCCTTCACCACATTGGGCAAGGGCAGCCCTTGCCTGAGGTCAACAAAGAGAAAAGGGAAAAAGAAAAAAGAAAAGAAGAGAAGGAAAAAAAAAAAAGAGAAAAAAGTGAAGAAAAAAAGGAAAAATAAAAAAAATTAATAACATCATCTCCGCCCTCGCCCGGTGGATCGCCTCCCACCCCACCCCTCCCGTGGCCATCCTCTCCGACTTCTTCTTCGGCTGGACTCTCGACTTGGCCGACAAACTTGGCATCCACCGGTTTCGTTGGACCTCCCGGGACCAGATGGTCCGCTTCCCGATTCCTAAATGGGATCACACTGTATCGGAAACCGATCACCCCTATTAAGTGCTTTGAGTCTCGAGGACGAAACTCATTTAGTACAGCCCAAAACGAAGGTTATCCAACCAAAACATCATAATCCGAAATCTCAGCCGTCATTGACCGTGAGATACACCGAACCTGGACATCATTCCGGTTCACTGAACTTGGTCGCGTTTCACATAACAGCAGCAAAACAAATGACAAAAAACCAGATCCAAACTCTTCTTCTTCGAGTCGCCACATCCCGTGACGTGTACAACCGGTGGAACTTTCCCTGCCACGTGTCAATCTCATTGCCTCCTCCCACGTGCGACGGAACGCCTCCGGCCCGTCTCCGCGGCGGTGGAGCGCGTGCGCGCCTCACGGTGGCGCGTGGGGCTCACGCTCTCACGGATGCCGTCACTGCCGAGAAGGATGTCGCTCGCCGCCCGACCGGCTGCAGTCAAAAGTCAGCACGTTCTCGGAAAAAAAAGGGCTTTTGGAAAATTACGATCATGTTGACATGGTGGGGAAGGAAATGATCAAGAAATTTCTCCAAGTAAATTAACAATCAAAAAAATTTAATTTTATAAAAAATTCGCATATTCTTTTAAATCCCTTTGGATTCCTGTATTAATAAACAAATCCATTCTCCTTTCTTCACTTATGTCCTCATTTTATATCTATTTTTAAAATTGATTAATCTATCATAACGCAATTCTTTCCTATTCTTTTATCTTCATTAATGTCCAAACAAACATTAGCATGGAATCCCTTTGAATCTTCTCTCTTTTGCTCTCGTAATTCTTCAAAATTTCTCATTTCCTTCCCTAATCACTCCATCCAAACCGAAGCACGGTTTCCATGTGTATTCACCGAGGATATAACATAGAGATGCGAGATACTAATCACAGTGGAATCCTCTGCCGAACGCAGCATCAGTTTAAGGGTGAACGATAATAAAACTTCGTGTATTGATTCTTTTCCTCGCTTTTACTATTTTATCTCCTTGTGATTGTGCGTCGAATCCTAACAAAAAAATGAAATCTTCAATATTAGCAAGTACAAGGTGTCGTGATTCGTTGTTTTCTCTTTTTTCATTCGGAACCGAACCCAACCACGCGACATCAATGACACGTATCAACTCCGTGACATCCGCGGTTCGGACCCCGAATCGATCATGGGAAATGGCCAGGGAATCGATTATCGGGTCATGACATCCCCGGTCAATCATGATCCCATCCCTGGAAAAAATGTGCAGCCGCCGAAAGAGAGAAAAAAAATCGCGCGCGATCCCAATTCACGATAGAGAAAAAAAAAAAGAAAAGAGGAAAAAAAAAAGAGCGCATTTTCCACGTAGGACGAAATCCAAATCTCCCTCCCTCTCGCTCACCAAACCAATAGCAATAGCTTAAGGAGTCCCTCCTTGAGTGAGGGAGGCGTGTTCAAGAGGGGGACAAGGTGTCGGGGCCCACCCCAAAGCACGTGTATGTACTTGACCTATCTTCGAGGAGAGATTCTTAATTTCGTCGAAATTCAGCCCGTAATTACGCCCACGTACATCGGTCCCGATCGACGGTCCGTCGTACCACCACGTTGACGCCGTTACCGTCAAAGTTCAAACCGCTTATATCTCCATCGTTACTTCATCCTCTCGCCATTTCCTCCGCTGCTCCTTCTGCAGAGTCACTGGTCCTCCTCGTCCTCCTTGCATGTGCACACCATTTCGCCATCGTCGCCACACCCACCGTCACCACCACCCGAGGAAGCTCCACTATAAATCCCGACCCCCTTCTTTCCTCCGCAAGTTCCCTCCACGAACCCCCTCCTTCACGCCCCGCCGAGCGACGGGGGACGGCTGGGAGAGAGGGAGAGAGATGGCGAGAGCTGCGGTCAGGTTCCGGCGGTTGACGGCGGCCTTCGGCGACGCGGGGCGTGCCGGCGAGAGCACGGGGGAGAGCGTCGTCGATCTGTCGGACCTCGTGGCGTCGTTCGTCGAGAGGGAGGGAGCGATGAGAGGTGGAGGTGGAGGGGAAGAGGAGGAGGAGGAGGAGGAGGAGATTGGGCGAGAGGAGTCGGAGAGCAGCTGCTGGTCCGACTCCGAGACCACCAAGGACAAGCTGCTCGGCTTGTTCCGGGGCGACAGCGATGCCGTTGCCGACGACGTGAAGAGGAGGATCCGGGCGGAGGTTGAAGCCGCGTGGGGGTTGATGAGGAACAATGGATTCTCGGAGGGAATGAAGCGTCAGTTGGTGATCAGTCTGCGCCTGAAGGGCTTTGATGCTGGTCTGTTTAGCTGCTTCTTTTTTTGAATGTCGATGCATTTCTATCGCTTCTCAACTCCGTGCGAGTTGCTGACCCAGTTTGTGATCCCGCAGGTCTCTGCAAAGCAAGCTGGGACAGGTCGTCGGCGCGTCCGGCCGGAGCCTACGAGTACGTGGACGTCAATGCCGAAGGGACGCGCTACATCGTCGAGGCTTCTCTCGCCGGGCAATTCGAGATAGCTCGGCCCTCCAGCCATTACGCGTCGCTGGTCGGCGTGTTTCCCCCGGTTTTCGTCGGCAGACCGGAGGAGCTCAAGCAGGTGATCAGGCTGATGTGCGCGGCGATGAAGCAATCCTTGCGGAGCACGGGGCTGCTCCTCCCGCCGTGGAGGAGGAAGAGCTACGTGAAGGCCAAGTGGTTTGGTAACTACAAGAGGACGACTCTCGACGAGGCTGCGGGGGCGAGAAGACCAGCCGTTCGGCACGAGAGTTTGGCTGAGATATCGTATCGCTGCAAGGACGACTTCCCGAGCAAGACGAGGCTGAGAGCCGGGTATTTAAGCGAGGTCTTTGGCGGCAACAGGAGGGGCGCGTGATCGCAGCATCCGGATTCTTTTATTTTCGAAAGCTTATTGCAATCAGTTCAATTCTTGTATAGAGTAATCAATCCAGTTTTGGTCCTGAAGCACGACCCGGAGTGAAGATTCTTTCGCTTGGCTTCATGGTTAGTTTTCTGAATGCCAGTTGATATAAGACTGTACAGATTTTGGCACATTGTGTACAGAAGATTGTTCACAAGTGAAGAATGGATTCACTTTTCCATTATGATGGTAGATGACTCCTGTTCTGATCTCTGTTCTGGGTAACAAGAACAAGAAGTAGCTATTAGTCCATGAGTTCCTAATCTTTCTCAACTATGTAATGCAGCTGCAAACCCAATATAAGCTTCTGTAAAACTATTTGTAGATCTACTAATAAGTCTGGAGGCAAAGAATGCGGTTGCAACGAATCCGTCGAAAAGCACGAGTAGACATGCCCTTTTAAAATCTACAAACATCTCTTGCTACTGGAGAAAAAGAGATTCAAAACCTCATCCTCGAGCAGTGATCAACTGTTAGCTAATAGTGATTCATTATTCAAACAATTCTTCAAGATGATACAACCTGCAAACGAATGAAACATGAAAGCCAGATGGACTAACAAAGTTGGGCAAAACGTATTCTTCGCAATACTCCCATTTACATAGACAAGCATTCGCGAAATGCGGATGTCTATCAGACTCGAGAGACGAACTGCGCAGAAAGCTTGTAAACAGCTCGGCCAGCTGTACAGCTCGGGATTTTCTATGCTCCGAATGAGGGGGATGCCATCTTCCCTCCAAACTATCCGCTCTTCGCATAAAGCAGCTACTGTTTCCACATATAAACGATGCTCCTACAAAGCACAAGGCGTCGCCTAATGATTAAGCAAATTACCAAGGCCTTTAGTTGTCAAAGTACGTAAATCGCCATCATCTAACAAGCCTGCCAGTTCAAATCTCAACATGATTGCAGAAAAAAGAGCATTGAAGTAATTACCACTTGGAGAACTCTTGTGGCCAGTTCCTCTGCAGTGTCGTTAGCCAACACCGGGATGACTCTTTGAGCAAGAATACATCCCCTGTCGTAATGCTCACCGATGAAGTGGATAGTTGGCCCAGAATATCTAACCATGCATGCACGAGAGAAACTATGATTAACCAAAGAGAAGAATAAAGACAAACATGGCTTTACGGGCTTGATTCTGGAATGTACCTAGCCCCAGAAGCAATGACTGAATCATGCACTTTCATTCCATAATAACCTTTTCCCCCAAAAGCCGGAAGAAGGGAGGGATGAGTATTGATGATGGATTTTGGGAAGGACTTGATCAATTCGATCGGAATAAGTTTGAGGTACCCAGCAAGGAGAATGAAGTCAACCTCATACCTCCTGATCAAGATAAAATAGCAAGTGAATGCATCAGCTGCGGAATTAAGTACACACATCATCGAGCAACGACAGGATCTCTCTCCCTCCCCAGGTAGGATGGCTCAATCTCCGTACATAAAATAGAATTGATATGTATCATAAAACCACAACAACCCACAACCACCCACCAACTCCGCAAATTAAAACAACAGATATTCCAAACTTTAGTGAAATAGTTCTATTTCGACCTCCATAAGAAAGAAGTCAGCATTTTCTTTCATTAGAGTATTCAAGACCGTGGTTTTATTGGTTTATACTCTAGCATACAATGACATCTTATGCACATGCCCAGAACTTTACCTGGAATATGACAGACAGCTCAAAAAACAACCTAATTGCCACATTTATGGAGGCATTATACACAAGAAGCTGCTGGTGTAGTTTAGGAAATTACTATATCTCTTCAAGTGAACTGAGCATGTCATGTTACACCTCATGCTACTGACCTAAGAGCAACAATTAGGTCACTTGCAGATAGCGCATCGGGATCTTGTTTGGTTTTGGGGAACAAAAGAACCGGGATGTCCATGTCTCTAGCAAAGACGGCACCTGCACAACCTGCCATACATAATGTTTAGGAATGACAGGCGGTTGCTTTAGTATCAGAGTCATGGCGAGTACTGGCTAATGACTGATCTAATAAAAATCATGTTGAGTCATTCCAACATGTGGCAAACAGGATCAGGATGCACGAAGCGAAAGTGAGAGATGCAAGCCCGGTCAGACCAAGCGATGGCACTGAGGATTGCTTGAGGAAAAAGGGAACTGAAAGAACGAGCCTTTAGAAATACTCTACATTGACATATGCTCTGAACTCTCGAATGCAGGGCAACCTGATAAGGAGGTATAGACTGTGGAATGAGAAGTACATCTTATTGAATGCCATCAGACACCATTGAGCACCTCAGAGAACCATTCTCCAAGATAGCCCCTCTTTCGCAAGATAAAAACAAGCCGTTAACTAAACAGAACAACCGACCGATCGAAGGGCAACTTTCTTTTCTCCGGCTAGGCTCCATTGACTCCACACAGATCAACCAATCCTTCTCGTATCATCACTTATTGAATACTAACATTTGACAGACTGAAAGAATGTGCACACGCCTGACCCCGCTAATTCTACCACTTCAGTCAAAGTGGAGCAGCTCTCAGGACAGTAGCACGCGACCATGCACCGAAACAAACTAAAGCCGCAAAGATGTTCATGTAATGAAGAAAAGGTGATGATGGAGTTAAGGCTGAGAAAGAAAGGACAAAACTTTACCACTTTTCTCAGTGACGACGGCGGCAACTTCTCCGCTGATCGTTCCCGCGACGCACGCCTCGTGGATCGCCCGGAAATTCGACCCTCTACCGGAAACAAAAACAGCGAGCTTCTTCTTCTTCTTCTTCTTCTTCTTCTTCACATCCTCACCATCAGGACTCGAATTCGCCACCATTTCTCCGCCATCTCCGCATTCTAGCCTCTTGCTCGAGCAGGCCCCCCCGAAAACTCACTTGGGTTCGGGTTCTGAACGACACGTGATCGCGCGTTCGAAGTGGAGGCGAGGACGAAAAGAATGAGCTCTGGAAAGGTTTTGAATACGAGCGAAAACTTGGAGCCAATGCCTTCATCTCGCTCAAAGGGCCTAGTGTAAAGAAAACTCGTGAAGGGTAATCGATGGCGTCGACGAGAACGGCCTCAAACGAACGCGCGCTAGCGCAGAGTGGCGGTGCAGTCGGAACGGAGAAGTAGAAAGCAACGTGTTCCTTCTATGAAGTGCGTTGTCGTGTCGGAGAAGCTTTGCTTGATGCCACGAATGGATGTTACTGCGTTGTTGAGCACGAAGCATTCACGTAGGAGTCACGAAGGAGGTAGGAAGAGAACTCCCAGCGAGGAAGAAGAAGAAGAAGAAGAAGAAGTCGTCTTGGGTGGTGCTCAATCATTGGGCCTGCAAGTTCGTGCATTGGACATGGTATGGGCCGAACCTCCATCGAACCCAGCTCCATAGCAACTCCCAAGTTAGTTCTTCTTCCACCCGCCAATGCGCGAGACTTCTGGACAGAGAACAAGGAAAGGAACAGGTACGATACGAAGGTCGACTGCGACAAGTTCTGGGTCTTTCGATTCTTTGCTCGGTTGCTCGTGCCGGAGCTGTTCGCCGGAGTCACCCGGGATCCACCGGACCTTTCTTGATCTGTTACCGGTAAATCCCACGTCAAAGCTTGCAACTTTTTTCTTTCCCGGCAAAACAGTTTCATCGTTGGAAGTCGATCGATTGTTCGCTTCGCATGATGCTGTTTCATCGAGATGAGAAGGCGACATCAAGTTTCAATTGCTTGCCTTTCTATCTCGGGACGAAGCTTTCAGATTATTGTGCTGATTGTGTTGTTGTACGTGCCTATATGGCCGGTGTGTATTACAGGTTCTTGCACCTGCGGATTGAGAATTAACGCCTCGAGATGTTCAAGAACACTTTCCAATCGGGATTTTTGTCCATATTGTACAGCCTTGGGTAATTCCTCTCGGCTATGGGTCTTTGATTTCTTAACCTAGTGTCACTTTTTGTGTTGCTCCTGCACTGAAGTTGTGGGTAAACTTTTTGGTTTTCTGTAGGAGCAAGCCCTTGCAGATCTGGGATAAAGAAGGTAATTGGGTTTTATGCTTTGAAAGGCGGGTAGTGCAGTTGGTGCTGCTTGTTATGTTCAATTCGTGCCTCGGCATGTTCTATCTTGGGCAGATCACGGATGATATTGTCATCGCGTCGTTTTATGTAAATCTTTGTGCCCTCTCCTTATTCAGTTATGTCCTCTGGGGAATAGGGAATTCTTTAGAAATCATTGTCATGAAGGTTACGACGCCAATACTTGGCTTGCATCAATTGCAGAGCCTTCCCGACATACTTGGCTTATAACATTTAAATTTCTCAAAGTTGCATGTAGTGAGTCCTGCCAAATACAACTAATTATCTGGTCTTTTTCAATTTCTTCAGTCAAACATGAATTTGGTGATTATGTCCGAGTATAATGTTGTTTTCCTTGTTAGTTAACATAAAGGACAACTTGCATGACTATTTTTTTGGTATTGGTGTCCAACTTGCAGTGGTTAATGGTCATGTAAAACGTCCGCAAGATGAAGACATTCAGTCAAATGTCCTTGAGATTGTTGGCTCTAATGTTCAGTCCACATACATCACATGCCCAGCAGATCCAGCTGCAACACTTGGCATAAAACTGCCATTCTTGGTTATGATTGTAAAGAATCTGAAGAAATACTTTACCTTTGAGATCCAAGTGCTGGATGACAAGAACGTGAGGCGGCGCTTCCGTGCTTCTAATTTTCAAGTGTGTAAGTTTGCCCGGATTGCTATATTGGTAGTTTGGTTTGGACAACTTGTTACTAGATTTTATTTGCCCTATAAGTGGAATAGATAGACAAATCATGCAATGCAATGTGGCCATAGGTGGAAATTTCTAGCCTGTAGTGGTCCTTGGGCTTGAAATGACATTTCCTATCTGGCATTTAAAAACCAATGGTTCTGCATTTTCAGTCATTTTGACTACACTGTATAATCACAATGCTGGAGGAAAACAGACTTACAAAAGGAAAATCATGTATCTCTCAATCCCATGTTGTGTTATTAATGAAATGGCGAGGGAGCTTTTAGTTATCAATGGATTTGAACCACCTATCCAGGATCATGTTTCATGCGAACTCTACAACCTGTCATTGGCTTCATGCCGATTGATTGCTTGTACCGAGATAATTGTCAGTGGAGATTGGAGGGACGACTTGATATGTATTTACTTTAATCAACTGGACAAGAAGCCCTTCATCCCTAATTGAAAGGGAAATTGTCGAAGTATGCACTCCATTATATGACACGTTGCATATAATTGGTTGCTTGTATGATAGTATGAGTTATGTGCACTTCAAGAATGGCATTGCATGTAATGACACCCTCTCCTCTATTAAGTTCTATATGAGTTATGTACACTAGAGGAATTGGCATTGCATGTAACCTTTCAGTCTTGCATTGCAGGCTGTGACTAGGGTAAAGCCATATATTTGCACCATGCCATTGAAGCTAGATGAAGGATGGAATCAGATCCAGTTGAATCTTGCTGATTTGACCAGGAGAGCATACGGAACCAACTACGTCGAGACATTGAGAGTGCAGATACATGCAAACTGCCGTCTAAGAAGAATCTATTTCTCTGACCGCCTTTACTCCGAAGAGGAACTTCCACCAGAATTTAAACTCTATCTTCCCATGCAGGTGAGATTACCTTCTCTGAGAAATAGCTTGTTTTTGAATGCCGTATCTTTTTATACTGTCTCTGGTTAGCTAACTCCCAGTACATCTCTGTTGCAGAAAAGTTAGGAACTTTGGGAGAAAGGTCTCCAGATCAGTTGCGACACAAGCCGGACCTATTGAATCGTGTGTCGTGTATGGTTATCTTGTCATGTGGTATACGGCTGTGATCTGTTGTAGTTAGCTATGGATGTTTCTTCCTCCTGATAACTATTATGATTATGCCTATGAGAAATACCATATTAGAGCAGCTATTTCACACCTATACCTAGATGGAATTAGTCTCCTACCAGACTCTGACCTTATATCTTTCCTCTCGAGTCTTGCCACTTTGTGCATTAGTCCAAGTTATATCGTGTTCATGGCTGAATCCAAAGCCTCTCGGTATTCATATTTGAAGATCACTTGCTCCGATAATTTCTTAAACTCAATGCGGCTCCAGTGGTTGCCTCTTTGAGGAAACAAATGACGGTGTCGCGTTGCTAGTGTCTCGGAAATGGGGACATTTGCCTAGTTGATCAATTTGCTATTATCATGTTGACACATGCAAGGAATACGAGTGTTGCATGTTGTATATGCGATTCGCCAGTCACAAGGTCACTGAACACCGGATTTCTAACTGCAGAGGCCAAGAAGAATGGATTCCTATCCTACTTAATTGCACTTCGAAGACCTCTTTTCAATTATTTCACATGTTAGTTAAATAATAGTGCATTACTCAACACCAAGCAGCACCACTCCTACTGGTATTTTAATACGTGTTTTCACAGATTTGAGTTCGGAATCATAATAGGTAGCTGCATTTCCAGTAATATGATTCGAAATTTAACTTTCACAGGATTGAAGTAGCTTACTTCCCGTACTCTTCGAAAATAACTAGTGGAAACCGATAAAATTTGAGGCCAATGGACTTCCACTCGAATCTGTCGCGCAATTCCTTGTAACCAACAGTCGGCAAATTGTAATACTGGCAAACTAGAAGCGCATGAGGAGTAGTTTTCCTTTTCCAAAAGCTATTTTCCTGGGAATTACATCTACAGTTCTACCGAACTCAGCTCATTTCATTTGACTAGCCTTTGAAGATGGAAAGGCTGCATAAATGACAAGTTATTGTCAGCTACAAGAATATTAATGAAGCCTATGTATTGCAGCTAAAGTTTCCTACTACAGTTCTCACGCTTCAATGCCAAAAAGGTGCTAACTCCTCGCCAAGCAAAACAGAAGATATATCACTCAGCAAAGTAGACCTCTTCCCTTGGCACTCATCCAACTGTATCCAGATCGACTTCAGCATCTGTCTCTCCATCCACCGTTCCCGCTTCTGCTTCGGCTTCTGCTTCGGCATCCGCTTCCAACTGGCCTGGCTCTGGACCTATGTCTGTGTCCGAGCCCTGCTTCAGATGTTCATCTGGTGTCGGGGTACCGCCTTGGGTATCATTGACAGCTGCAGCAGCCGTTGGGTCTGTGTCCATGGGTGTTGCTGTTGCTTCGAGATCCCCTCTTGTACCTTCACCATCAATCTCACTTGCCGATGTAGTAATCTTCCCACATAAAACAGATAGAAGAGGCAATATGAGTGCCAATCAAAGAATATATAAAATAGCGACATAAATGGGATAGTGCAACCATCTACATGCATGCTCGTTCCTCCTGGTTTTTTCTTCCCTTCTGAGTTGTGAAGTTCAACATAAGGATTAATCACAGCTTTACCACAATTTCTAAAACCACTAGAGAATCCCGCATTTATCAATTTAAAGCTGATTGAAGAGATCAATTGAAAGCCATACTTAAACAGGATGCCACAATTTTTCTTTGGATAGACCTAAGATTGTCATAGAGCACCACCCTATGCAATCCCATTCAATAAGTGATGATAAGTATAACCACTTCAAGCACAAAATCGTGACCTTTCACGAAAATTTAGCCGCATACCCCCAGGTGACTCCTTGTTAAACTTGCCAAAGCATACCATATCACATCTGAAGCTCTTACTCCTCCCGTCACATACCAACCAAAGTTTTAAAAAGACACCCATTTTTTTCAGCAACAACAAAAGGGAACACTTTTTAGATTTCTTTCGACTATAAGTCTTCATTTGCGTGTGATTTAACTGGGGCTTAATCTGAAAGTGACATCCAATATACAAGAAACAGAGGCTTTGCATCCATGCCCTTCAAAATATTTGCAATCATTTCATTTATGATCTAGAGCACCTGATTTTCTTCAGCTTGCTGAGGAGTAATCTTTGCTTCTTCCTTCTTAGCACGTTTGGATCTCTCATTTGGCTTAGCTTGATACTTCGAACGAACGTGGGGTGGCAAAAGTTCAAGGGGCACAACCCCTCCAATGCCATGGTCGGTGAACTACAAGGACAACCACAGAATCCTTTTGTTACTGAGAGTATAGTACAAATATATACCAAATCTATTGTAAAGTTTAATCAAGTCATCGTACTCGAGAAAACCCTTCCAAATCCTGCCGAGCTGAACAACGAAGACCTTTCCAACAATATACCTGCATCAAGTACAGCAAGTTTTTCACCCACAAAATCATCAGAGGGATCTTGCAGAGCAAACAACGCACCAAAAAGAGATGAAATGAAATTAAGGGATACAAGTTTTACCCGATTATTCTTGTGATGATACTCGTCTTCTATTCCAGCTGATACATCCATCTGCATTCACATAGGAAGCCCTTGACATCTCGATAATTCACAACTTGAAATGAAAGCAAATCTAAGGGTCCTTTTGTTTGAAGGAAAACTATTTTAGAGAAATTGTCTTTCGACTTTCCGGTGTCTAGATGACAGAAAACTAGTTGATGCACGAAAACCTTTTCCATGGACTGAAATCAACAAGCTTAGATTGGGGTAAAATGACTTCCCCTTCTGGCAAGAAGGAAATCACTTTCCCTAAACCACCAAACAAATGAAAACTAACCATTTTCCTTGAAAATGATTTCCATGGATTATATTTTCTTCTTTCATTAAGTTTTTAGCGAAACAAATGCAACCTGAAGAAACGTCCATATGAAAGTCTTTCCAAAGCCTAATGATAACGGAAGAAGATATAATTGCATCAACATCCAGTACTTACATCTTCGGCCAAGGGTTTCCAGTACTCCATGACAGCAGGAGTTCGGACACGTTGAGGATCAGTCAATGCATTCTTGACAGGTCAAAAAGAAGAGTAGATTGTTATTTGATAAGCAGGAAAGATACATCAATCATATGGCATTTTGTAATCCACATCCTTTTGTAAGAATTTTCCATTATCATAAGCTTATTTACATCATGGCATGGAATCGACTTGACATTGACACAATATTCAACTGTTTAGAATTTGTAGCTTTACAAGTCAATGCACATCCGTAAAAACGGACAGTAGCTCACAGATGGTAAATAATAGTGAAATCACTCATTTTCCAAATGCTGATACCACATACATGGCAAATAATGATGCCACGGGAAACAGAACAAAGTAAAACACAAACAGTAAGTTCCTGAATAAAGCACCAAAATCTCTCTTCAAAGAAATATAAGGGAAAGACCACTGTATCTTTCATTGGTAATGCCTCTTATGAAAATATAGGCCCATTTCGCATAGAGTAATTACGTCTTTTCACCAAAACCTGAGAGTGCCGGTAAGCCATCAATCATAGCGTTTGAAAAGATTAAAAAACTACGAGACTACTGATATAACGATATGCATCTTAATATAATGATGTGCATGTTAATGATATCTCAAATCTTCACACTCCAGAATATGTCATGCTCGAAGGTATGAGGATGTCAGGGTACAAAATTCGTAATAATTTCATCATCTGTCAGGTAACTTCTTTGGGATCCTGGAGACTACCATTTACATATAAAAGGGGAAGGGCTTCTGCACACTAATATTCTTTCATCCTCATTGCATAATGCATACTGGAAGATCTTTCTCACAAAGATGTGACAATTTGTGCTTCATTTCGTACTTCAATTATTCAATCTTTCAATAATAAGGGAAATAGCTTCTTTTGCTCTTGGACTTCGTATAAACCAATGTAATAAGCAGTGCTTTTAAACTCCAATTGGTTTTTCTACCAGTAACCAGTTGAACCACCGAGTTAATCATTTATTTATAGACATTCATTTTCAAAATTGACCGAAGTCAGAGAGTTGGCCAGGTAGCAGAAGTCATACTAAGCATGCATTTGGGAGGCCAGCAGCCCAAGTTTGATGCAGAATAACTACTGACTCCTACATTCCAGTAAAATGGCGTGGCTCAGTGGCAGTCAATGCCAGTTCAATCCCATTTATGACCATTCACTATTTGATATAAACTAGACCGAACAATATCCACTTCCCGGTTAAACATGCCATTTAGATCCAGTTACAAAGCCGATGAATGTAACAAATATACAAGTTCTCTGACCTCATGTGCACCATTTTCGTAGCAAGAAAACTAAATAACATTATAAAAATGTGAAAAAACATTGCAGCAAATCCAGTCAATACAGCAGAAGCTGTGATGAATGATAGATCATGAATAACAAGTTAACTTACGGCGTAAAAGAAATCTTAGAGATATTGAATATAACATACTGGATTCTGATCAGCCCACTTCCACAACTGCGACAGTTCTTTATTTCCTAGTCTCCACCTAGGTCTTCTGAAAGATTTGTAGGAAGCAAAATTCTTTAATAGTTGAAAATACAATCAAAGTTTTGAACTAGCATATTAAACAAGATAGATCCAAAAAGAGAGCCTCAACACTAAATGTACGACTTTGCAAACAAAATGATGGTTTTATACACTAACAATACTCGTGGGCACAATCATTGCACATGCATATCCAATGCAATAAGATGGAGAAACGAATGATCACATCCTTCGCTATTCTAACATAGGTCAATGATGAACATACATAACTCCATATCGTCACCTTCCAAGGCATAATCAGTTATGCCTCAACATCAGAACTGCCGACCGTCTCAATTAGATACTGGCTAGCTGATAAGTAACAAAAGATTAGGAAGCAACTAAGTTTGGTACATCTTATAGAAGAGAAACATTAAAAATATAGAAGTGCAAAGAAACTAATTGATGATATTTTCGGCGAGGTTATTGTGTTCACTTTCTTTGGTGTTCCGATCTCATGCTGGTAAATCACCTCATGGCCTTTCTCTATATAAAATAAGAAGAGCTACTCAAAGTCTGTACTGAGTCGTTGGTATAGGAGTTACTGTCCTCTTGTTTCTACAGCTGTGTTCCAAGAAGAAACA